GAAGTTGAGATGTCGAGAAAGTGCACGCCGTTGTGGTGCGAAGCACATTTAGAAGTCAAAATGTACAAAACACACCATGTACGGACCACTTTTGGAGGTTCAGATGTCGTTTCGCGTGGCAGGCGCAAGCGATTGTGGACCTTGTCAAAAGTGAGCAAGACGTGAAAGTTTTGTAGCATTTTCAACTACAACCACCACTACACCACACTACACTCCAACACATTATATACACTACACTACAACTACACCTTCACTACATTCTACTACACTACACTCCACTACACTACACTACACTGCACTCAATTACACTCAATTACACTACACTACACTACATTACGCAACACTACACTCCACTACACTACACTACATTACACTACACTACATTACACTACATTACACTACACTACCCTACCTTCCACTACACTACATTACACTACACTACACTCCACTACACTGCACTTCGCTACATTGCACTACAACTACAACTGCACAACTACACTCCACTACACTCCGCTACACTAAATTACACTACACTACACTACATTACACTACACTACATTCCACTACACTACACTCCACTACACTGCACTTCGCTACATTGCACTACAACTACAACTGCACAACTACACTCCACTACACTCCGCTACACTAAATTACACTACACTACACTACATTACACTACACTACATTCCACTACACTGCACTACACTACATTACACTACACTACACTACACTACACTACACTACCTTCCACTACACTTCACTACATTACACTACACTACACCCCACTACACTACAACTACAACTACACAACTACACTCCACTACACTCCACTACACTCCACTACACTCCACTACACTCCACTACACTCCACTACACTCCACTACACTCCACTACACTCCACTACACTCCACTACACTAAATTACTCTGCGCTACACTACATTGCACTACGCTACACTCCACTACACTACACTACATTACACTACACTACACTACACTACCTTCCACTACACTTCACTACAGTACACTACACTACACTACACTCAACTACACTACAACTACAACTACAACTACATTCCACTACACTCCACTACACTCGACTACACTAAGTCACACTACACTACACTACGTTACGCTACACCACACTACATTCCACTACACTTCACTACATTACACAACACTACCTTACACTGAATGACACTGCGCCACAGATAGACAGGTAGATAGATGGATAGATAGATAGATAGATAGGTAGGTAGAAAGATGGATAGATGGATACATAGATAGATAGATAGATAGGTAGGTAGATAGATAGATAGATCGATAGATACATAGATAGGTAGGTAGGTAAGGTAGGTAGAAAGAGAGAGAAAGAGAGAGAAAAAGAGGAGACATCAATCACCTTTCGATCCATCAGTGGCTTCGCTCTGCCATCCGTGATTCACAACAACCAACCTTTCCTATAGGTTTCCTATTTTTGAAACTTCCGCCACCGCCTTGTGCAATATTAATATGAGTAAGCAAGAAATCATAGGAACCATATATTTCGAAATCGATAAAGCAGGGTTTGGTTTCCAAAAACCTACTTTGAAGGATGCAAGAGAGAAAGACAAATCTATTGCTATGAAAGATGTTGAATATTTTTTCAAACAGATGTAGAGATAACAAAAAGAACCTGAGAGGCTACAATAGCTTTGTTGCTCCACATAACAATCATACATACCAAGTTGATATAGTCTTTATTTCCAAACAAGATTTAAAGGTAAAACTCAGCCGCTCTGCCAGAGTCGCTGGGGCAGACACTCAGTGAGTGGCTGCGAGCCGCTCTGCCAGAGTGGCTGAGTGGCTGAGTGGCTGCGAGCCGCTCTGCCAGAGTGGCTGAGTGGCTGAGTGGCTGCGGCAGCCACTCTGGCAGAGTGGCTGAATGGCTGAGTGGTTGCGGCAGCCACTCTGGCAGAGTGGCTGAGTGGCTGAGTAGCTGCGGCAGCCACTGCCAGAGTGGCTGAGTGGCTGCTTCGATTTCGCGAGCCGTGTTGCACATCCACTCCGAAATCAATTGGCTAAAGTTCGTCAACGCACAGGGGAAGACCCTGGCGACACAGCCACACCTCCGAGAACGGCCCCATCGGCATCCAGTCCTGCCAGCACACCCATTCAACGGGCCCTGATGAACAACTCCACAGGCCCAACACCGCCACCACCATCATTCGACCCTTCATGCCTTCTGGTTGGTCCTGCCACCGTCAATCCTTGGCTTACCGACCATATGCCACCTACTTTGGCAGTCCGAGCCTTCAACAAATGGCTCAAAGATTTCCCCATCTCAGAACCGAAACGCAAGGTTCTCACGGAGAACATCACCGAGACGCAGACTTGGTGAAACCGTCGAACGTGTGGCAGTCATGATGGGCATCCCAGTCAGCTTGCTCGGCAAGAATTATGAAGTACTTAATCTCCTTCGTGCCATGACAGCCGCCATCAGCCTGACCAATTGACTAGCTCCCCAGCTTCGACGAAAGCTCAAGCACAAGGTGCTTCAATCCCAGTTACAAATTCTCCACTCGATGATTCTGACCATCTATATTTTGACACCCTTCACTATGACTTACAGCCTTCATCTTTTTCAAGGCTTTCGCATCATCCAAACCCGAATGATGGTGCTCGCCGTAATCCATCTCTGGGGATCAACACTCCACGCTCACAACCTCTTCTCCAAACCATTTTTCCAATCCCAGAGTGTGTACATTCGTTTCACTCATATCATGAACACGCAGTCCAAGTTTTATGTTGGGTCCGCCATGCACCACACTCTTGACTGGGAGTACAGTCGTTCCAGAAAATATCTTCAACTCAACAACGAACGACTTGTACAAGCTGAAGTGGCTCTTCGCTACTGGCAAGAGCATGACAACTTGTATATCTGGGCTCCCATTCCCCTCTACACGGAAAGTGCCGACTACCGATGCCTTGAACTCGCCCTCATCCAAGAGTGCATTTGTGAAATGTCCATGTGCGTTTCGACTGCGCAGGCTCGCACAAAACGATGTCCCCAGAGGTGTCCCGGTCGTTTTTCCTGTAAATTTCCATGCAAAATGGCTCTTGTACTCTGTCCATGTGCATTTCGACTGCGCAGGCTCGCGCAAAACGATGTCCCCGGAGGCGTCCGCGGCCATTTTGCCGGTAAATTTCCAGACGAAATGGCTCTTGTGAAATGTCCATGCGCGTATCGCCTGCGCAGGCTCACACAAAGTGCGCTTCCCGGTCTTGGGATCGGTCTTCCATCCTCCTCCTCAACCTCATCATCTTCCTCCTCTTCCACATCAACCTCATCATCTTCCTTTCATCATCTTCCTTTCATCATCTTCCTCTCATCATCATCATCATCATCATCATCGTCATCATCATCATCGTCATCATCATCATCAGCATCAGCATCAGCATCAGCATCAACATCATCATCACCATCATCATCATCATCACCATCACCATCATCCTCATCCTCATCATCTTCCTCACCATCATCATCATCATCACCATCATCATCATCATCATCTTCACCACCACCATCATCATCATCATCAACATCACCATCATCATCAACATCATCTTCAACATTAAGTAACGTCGTCATCAACATTCTAATACATTATCCTTTTACTCCCCACACATTGTTTGGGGTCTCTTGCCGGGATAATATGTTTTTTTGGGAGAAGGTGAGTTGATTGGCAGGCCTTTGCACGAGACAAGTGCGCAAAAATCTTTGCACTTTCCTCCCAGATCGATGTCAACGGTGACAAAAACCCCATAGCAAATTTGGACGCTGGATATAATAGCCTTTGTGCAGCTTTCACGCGTCGACAAGGGAAGTTGTCGCTTCCCAAAATTTGTGGATCAATGGATCTGTTGTTTTGACACCTCTAACAGGGGCTGCATTTTGACATCCTGAGATCAAGTGGCAGCGCTTTCATTTTCTGCCAATGTAACGTGCAGATGCATTTCTCAAAAGAACATGCAAATGAGTTTTTTGTGAAAAAAACGCGCAAAAACCGCCCAAAAAACAAAAAACATCAAGTAAATTGCACCTAAACAATTCAAACAAGTTTTGTAGGGCCCTACGGTTCATTGATTTTTGGGCTGTGAGGCTCATAGATTTTTGGGTTGTAAAATTCATAGATTTTTGGTTTGTAAGACTCATAAGTTTTTTGGCCGTAAAACTATGAACCGTGACATTGGCGTGACTCTTCATCAGCACCAGTCCAAAAAAAAGACCCTTGGGTGCTTCGTCATGGGTGGACATCAGCATGTCAGACATGTCAGTGTTGCACTCTTGGTTGAAACAGGACCTACGTTTTTTATTTTATTTTGTTTCTGCCTTCGTTGATCAGCGTTCTTTGTAGTTTTTGTGGTATAGAATCTAACCTTGAATATCCAATGAAGGTAGGGACTGAACTGCGCAGGCCAGCTAAGCTCAGCTATGCTGCAAGATGCAAAACCAGGCCTTTTGGGATCTGCATGAAAAGGAACTAAGCATGGAAGCATCGGTTTTGCAGGACACCGAAGGGCCGAAGGGTTTCTTCGTTGAAACGTGCACTTTGGAGATCAACAATCTTGAGGAATTCATTGTCCAGGCATGCAGTGAATGGATTCAGATTGAGTTGAGTAGATGGCGCATCCGAAGCCATTCAAGGATACTGAAGGTGTTTTCTGCTTCCATCGTGTTAGCATCCAGCAATGTTCACTGGTCAGCCCGTGTACCCTGGACAACAGATGTATGCAGTTCCAGGTGCCGTGACTACGCTCCCATCTCGTGTCTCTTACGTGACGAGTGGTGCTGAGATCCCTGGCGGCATGGCTGCCCCAGCTGTGGCTTATCCACAGATGGCACCACAGATCTATGCTCTGTCAGCAATGGTCTCCCCTGGAATGCAGACTCAGACAAGGGTTGTGACCCTGAGTGTATCGGAGGCTGAGGTTCTTCTGGCACAAAAGGCTTGGTCAGATGCAATCAAACACATTTCCAAGACCTATCTTGAGGGAGGCGACTACGTTGCAGCTGCTGCCAAAGCAGCCGGTGAGCTCTATGGCTATGGCCACTCTGATGTGCTGTTCAAGCCAACCAAGGCAGCTGAAGCACAGTTTCGACCCACAGCCTCAGATGCCATGTCCTACTTTGTTGGGCACAAGGCGGTCGAGAATGGGTTATCTTGAGGATGCTGGCTTCGCCATCAACGGTGGAAAGGGATGGTCAAATGTGGTTTTTGACAACCACAAAATTCATGTCAGCGGCAATGTTGCCATTGCCATGGGCAACTACTTCTTCACCAGCGCTGCAGATGGAAGCAAGACCAAAGTTGAGTACACTTTCGGCTACAAGAAGAATGCGGACGGCAAGGTGCGCATCTTCCTCCACCACTCCTCAGTGCCATACAGCGTGCCTGCAGCCACTGCATCTGGAGCGATTACTGAAGAGGAAGTAAAGAGTGTGCAGGCAGCATGGGCCAATGCCATCAGGAGTATCTCCAAGACTTATCTTGACGGAGGCGACTACGTTGCAGCTGCTGCCAAAGCAGCCGGTGAGCTCTATGGCTATGGACACACAAATGTGCTGTTCAAGCCAACCAAGGCAGCTGAAGCACAGTTTCGACCCACAGCCTCAGATGCCATGTCCTACTTTGTTGGGCACAGAGCGGTCGAGAAGGGTTATCTTGAGGATGCTGGCTTCGCCATCAACGGTGGGAAGGGATGGTCGAACGTGGTTTTTGACAACCACCAAATTGATGTCACTGGCAATGTTGCCATTGCCATGGGCAACTACTTCTTCACCAGCGCTGCAGATGGAAGCAAGACCAAAGTTGAGTACACTTTCGGCTACAAGAAGAATGCGGACGGCAAGGTGTGCATCTTCCTCCACCACTCCTCAGTGCCATACAGCGTGCCTGCAGCCACTGCATCTGGAGCGATTACTGAAGAGGAAGTAAAGAGTGTGCAGGCAGCATGGGCCAATGCCATCAAGAGTATCTCCAAGACTTATCTTGAGGGAGGCGACTATGTTGCAGCTGCTGCCAAAGCAGCCGGTGAGCTCTATGGCTATGGACACACAAATGTGCTGTTCAAGCCAACCAAGGCAGCTGAAGCACAGTTTCGACCCACAGCCTCAGATGCCATGTCGTACTTTGTTGGACACAGAGCGGTCGAGAAGGGTTATCTCGAGGATGCTGGCTTCGCCATCAACGGTGGGAAGGGATGGTCAAATGTGGTTTTTGACAACCACCAAATTGATGTCACTGGCAATGTTGCCATTGCCATGGGCAACTACTTCTTCACCAGCGCTGCGGATGGAAGCAAGACCAAAGTTGAGTACACTGTCGGCTACAAGAAGAATGCGGACAGCAGGGTGCGCATCTTCCTCCACCACTCCTCAGTGCCATACAGCGTGCCTGCAGCCACTGCATCTGGAGCAATTACTGAAGAAGAAGTAAAGAGTGTGCAAGCAGCATGGGCCAATGCCATCAAGAGTATCTCCAAGACTTATCTTGAGGGAGGCGACTACGTTGCAGCTGCTGCCAAAGCAGCCGGTGAGCTCTATGGCTATGGACACACAAATGTGCTGTTCAAGCCAACCAAGGCAGCTGAAGCACAATTTTGACCCACAGCCTCAGATGCCATGTCGTACTTTGTTGGGCACAGAGCGGTCGAGAAGGGTTATCTTGAGGATGCTGGCTTTGCCATCAACGGTGGAAAGGGATGGTCAAATGTGGTCTTTGACAACCACCAAATTGATGTCACTGGCAATGTAGCCATTGCCATGGGCAACTACTTCTTCACCAGCGCTGCAGATGGAAGCAAGACCAAAGTTGAGTACACTTTCGGCTACAAGAAGAATGCGGACGGCAAGGTGCGCATCTTCCTCCACCACTCCTCAGTGCCATACAGCGTGCCTGCAGCCACCAAAGTGCAGTCCCCAAGCTTGGTGACAACTTTGCAGCCAACATTGGTTGGAGCATAGATTTGATCTCTGAGAGGCCTGCTTTGGTCACATCTTTAGTTTTTTTCGATGCTGACGGTGACTTGAAACAGTTGCCTGGTCTGGTGCTTTGCAAAAGTTTTATTGCACTTTTCTGCACGTTTGAGGCTTTTTAGGTTTGTCCTTTGTCCAGCTTTTGCCTCAAACATTTTTGTGCAGTATCAGTATCAAATTGATTTGTACACATGATATAGATTTAATGATTGAATTTTTAGCCGGACCTAGGAGCCGGCTGCGGGGATGAAAAATCCCCACCAGAGGAGATATCTTTCGAAGTTTTGGGAAGGGCCAATGGGCTGCCGAAGGCCTAAGCTCTTCAACCAAGCAGCCAGTACATAGCTGTGCTTTGCTTGGAGACCCTTGCAGCTTTTCGCAATCGCCCGCCTCAAAAGTTGCATTTGGAGTCCAATTTGGAGTCTCTTTGTCTCTTGAGCGGAGCGCGTTTCTGAAGGTTTTGAATGAGATTGTCACTGCAACATCTGAGAGCTAAGACTGTAAGACTTGGTGTCTGCCAGGATCTGGTGAAGGTCCTGTGCTTTCCAGTGGATGGTGGACGGATTGTGCGAAGGAACTTTTCAAAGGCTTGGACGTGGGCAGGATGGGCTGACTTGCAGTGGGTGGGAAAATAGTAGAAACTTTCGGAATATGGATGAGTATGAAAGATCGTTGCTCAAGAGAGCCTAAAGACACCCAACATTTTATCTAGCTGTTCTGCTTGAGTTGTTTCATTCTCGGTTCCAGCATTTAAGCTGCGCAGGCCAGCTATGCTGCAAATTGGAAAGCAAGGCTGTTTGGGATCAGGATGAATACGAGTCAAGAACGGAAGCATAGGCTAGAGGCCTTATAGGTCCTTGCAAGGTTTCTGCGTCGAAACATGCAAAACATGCACTTTGGAGATCAACAACCTTGAGGAATCTGAATTCATTGTCCAGGCATGCAGTGAATGGATTCAGATTGAGTTGAGTAGATGGCGCATCCGAAGCCATTCAAGGATACTGAAGGTGTTTTCTGCTTCCATCGTGTTAGCATCCAGCAATGTTCACTGGTCAGCCCGTGTACCCTGGACAACAGATGTATGCAGTTCCAGGTGCCGTGACTACGCTCCCATCTCGTGTCTCTTACGTGACGAGTGGTGCTGAGATCCCTGGCGGCATGGCTGCCCCAGCTGTGGCTTATCCACAGATGGCACCACAGATCTATGCTCCGTCAGCAATGGTCTCCCCTGGAATGCAGACTCAGACAAGGGTTGTGACCCTGAGTGTATCGGAGGCTGAGGTTCTTCTGGCACAAAAGGCTTGGTCAGATGCAATCAAACACATTTCCAAGACCTATCTTGAGGGAGGCGACTACGTTGCAGCTGCTGCCAAAGCAGCCGGTGAGCTCTATGGCTATGGCCACTCTGATGTGCTGTTCAAGCCAACCAAGGCAGCTGAAGCACAGTTTCGACCCACAGCCTCAGATGCCATGTCCTACTTTGTTGGGCACAAGGCGGTCGAGAATGGGTATCTTGAGGATGCTGGCTTCGCCATCAACGGTGGAAAGGGATGGTCAAATGTGGTTTTTGACAACCACAAAATTAATGTCAGCGGCAATGTTGCCATTGCCATGGGCAACTACTTTTTCACCAGCGCTGCAGATGGAAGCAAGACCAAAGTTGAGTACACTTTCGGCTACAAGAAGAATGCGGACGGCAAGGTGCGCATCTTCCTCCACCACTCCTCAGTGCCATACAGCGTGCCTGCAGCCACTCATGGAGCGATTACTGAAGAGGAAGTAAAGAGTGTGCAGGCAGCATGGGCCAATGCCATCAAGAGTATCTCCAAGACTTATCTTGACGGAGGGACTACGTTGCAGCTGCTGCCAAAGCAGCCGGTGAGCTCTATGGCTATGGACACACAAATGTGCTGTTCAAGCCAACCAAGGCAGCTGAAGCACAGTTTCGACCCACAGCCTCAGATGCCATGTCCTACTTTGTTGGACACAAGGCAGTCGAGAAGGGTTATCTTGAGGATGCTGGCTTCGCCATCAACGGTGGGAAGGGATGGTCAAATGTGGTTTTTGACAACCACCAAATTGATGTCACTGGCAATGTTGCCATTGCCATGGGCAACTACTTCTTCAGCAGTGCTGCAGATGGAAGCAAGACCAAAGTTGAGTACACCTTCGGCTACAAGAAGAATGCGGATGGCAAGGTGCGCATCTTCCTCCACCACTCGTCAGTGCCATACAGCGTGCCTGCGACTGCATCTGGAGCGATTACTGAAGAGGAAGTAAAGAGTGTGCAGGCAGCATGGGCCAATGCAATCAGGAGTATCTCCAAGACTTATCTTGACGGAGGCGACTACGTTGCAGCTGCTGCCAAAGCAGCCGGTGAGCTCTATGGCTATGGACACACAAATGTGCTGTTCAAGCCAACCAAGGCAGCTGAAGCCCAGTTTCGACCCACAGCCTCAGATGCCATGTCCTACTTTGTTGGGCACAGAGCGGTCGAGAAGGGTTATCTTGAGGATGCTGGCTTCGCCATCAACGGTGGAAAGGGATGGTCAAATGTGGTTTTTGACAACCACCAAATTGATGTCACTGGCAATGTTGCCATTGCCATGGGCAACTACTTCTTCACAAGCGCAGCAGATGGCAGCAAGACGAAAGTTGAGTACACTTTCGGCTACAAGAAGAATGCGGACGGCAAGGTGCGCATCTTCCTCCACCACTCCTCAGTGCCATACAGCGTGCCTGCAGCCACTGCATCTGGAGCGATTACTGAAGAGGAAGTAAAGAGTGTGCAGGCAGCATGGGCCAATGCCATCAGGAGTATCTCCAAGACTTATCTTGACGGTGGCGACTATGTTGCAGCTGCTGCCAAAGCAGCCGGTGAGCTCTATGGCTATGGACACACAAGTGTGCTGTTCAAGCCAACCAAGGCAGCTGAAGCACAGTTTCGACCCACAGCCTCAGATGCCATGTCCTACTTTGTTGGACACAAGGCAGTCGAGAAGGGTTATCTTGAGGATGCTGGCTTCGCCATCAACGGTGGAAAGGGATGGTCAAATGTGGTTTTTGACAACCACCAAATTGATGTCACTGGCAATGTTGCCATTGCCATGGGCAACTACTTCTTCACAAGCGCAGCAGATGGCAGCAAGACGAAAGTTGAGTACACTTTCGGCTACAAGAAGAATGCGGACGGCAAGGTGCGCATCTTCCTCCACCACTCCTCAGTGCCATACAGCGTGCCTGCAGCCACCAAAGTGCAGTCCCCAAGCTTGGTGACAACTTTGCAGCCAACATTGGTTGGAGCATAGATTTGATCTCCGAGAGGTCTGCTTTGGTCACATCTTTAGTTTTTTTCGATGCTGACGGTGACTTGAAACAGTTGCCTGGTCTGGTGCTTTGCAAAAGTTTTATTGCACTTTTCTGCACGTTTGAGGCTTTTTAGGTTTGTCCTTTGTCCAGCTTTTGCCTCAAACATTTTTGTGCAGTATCAAATTGATTTGTACACATGATATAGATTTAATGATTGATTTTTTTAGCCGGACCTAGGAGCCGGCTGCGGGGATGAAAAATCCCCACCAGAGGAGATTCTTTCGAAGTTTTGGGAAGGGCCAATGGGCTGTCAAAGGCCCGCGCTCTTCAGCCAAGCAGCCAGTACATAGCTGTGCTTTGCTTGGAGACCCTTGCAGCTTTTCGCAATCGCCCGCCTCAAAAGTTGCATTTGGAGTCCAATTTGGAGTCTCTTTGTCTCTTGAGCGGAGCGCGTGTCTGAAGGTTTTGAATGAGATTGTCACTGCAACATCTGAGAGCTAAGACTGTAAGACTTGGTGTCTGCCAGGATCTGGTGAAGGTCCTGTGCTTTCCAGTGGATGGTGGACGGATTTTGCTTGGACGTGGGCAGGATGGGCTGACGCTGCCCACAAGCGTTTCTTGCAGTGGGTGGCAAAATAGTAGAATATTCGAAATATGGATGAGTATGAGAGATCGTTGCTCAAGAGAGCCTAAAGACACCCAACATTTCATCTAGCTGTGCTGCTTGAGTTGTTTCATTCTCGGTTCTAGCATTTGAGCTGCGCAGGCCAGCTTTGCTGCAAATTGGAAAGCAAGGCTGTTTGGGATCAGGATGAATACGAGTCAAGAAGGGAAGCATAGGTCTTGTAGGTCCTTGCAAGGTTTCTGCGTAGAAACATGCACTTTGGAGATCAACATTCTCGAGGAATCTGAATTCATTGTCCAGGCATGCAGTGAATGGATTCAGATTGAGTTGAGTAGATGGCGCATCCGAAGCCATTCAAGGATACTGAAGGTGTTTTCTGCTTCCATCGTAATAGCATCTAGCAATGTTCACTGGACAGCCCGTGTACCCTGGACAACAGATGTATGCAGTTCCAGGTGCCGTGACTACGCTCCCATCTCGTGTCTCTTACGTGACGAGTGGTGCTGAGATCCCTGGCGGCATGGCTGCCCCAGCTGTGGCTTATCCACAGATGGCACCACAGATCTATGCTCCGTCAGCAATGGTCTCCCCTAGAATGCAGACTCAGACAAGAGTTGTGACCCTGAGTGTATCGGAGGCTGAGGTTCTTCTGGCACAAAAGGCTTGGTCAGATGCAATCAAACACATTTCCAAGACCTATCTTGAGGGAGGCGACTACGTTGCAGCTGCTGCCAAAGCAGCCGGTGAGCTCTATGGCTATGGCCACTCTGATGTGCTGTTCAAGCCAACCAAGGCAGCTGAAGCACAGTTTCGACCCACAGCCTCAGATGCCATGTCCTACTTTGTTGGGCACAAGGCAGTCGAGAACGGTTATCTTGAGGATGCTGGCTTCGCCATCAACGGTGGAAAGGGATGGTCAAATGTGGTTTTTGACAACCACAAAATTAATGTCAGCGGCAATGTTGCCATTGCCATGGGCAACTACTTCTTCACCAGCGCTGCAGATGGAAGCAAGACCAAAGTTGAGTACACTTTTGGCTACAAGAAGAATGCGGACGGCAAGGTGCGCATCTTCCTCCACCACTCCTCAGTGCCATACAGCGTGCCTGCAGCCACTGCATCTGGAGCGATTTCTGAAGAGGAAGTAAAGAGTGTGCAGGCAGCATGGGCCAATGCCATCAGGAGTATCTCCAAGACTTATCTTGACGGAGGCGACTACGTTGCAGCTGCTGCCAAAGCAGCCGGTGAGCTCTATGGCTATGGACACACAAATGTGCTGTTCAAGCCAACCAAGGCAGCTGAAGCACAGTTTCGACCCACAGCCTCAGATGCCATGTCCTACTTTGTTGGGCACAAGGCAGTCGAGAAGGGTTATCTTGAGGATGCTGGCTTCGCCATCAACGGTGGAAAGGGATGGTCAAATGTGGTTTTTGACAACCACAAAATTGATGTCACTGGCAATGTTGCCATTGCCATGGGCAACTACTTCTTCACCAGCGCAGCAGATGGCAGCAAGACCAAAGTTGAGTACACTTTCGGCTACAAGAAGAATGCGGACGGCAAGGTGCGCATCTTCCTCCACCACTCCTCAGTGCCATACAGCGTGCCTGCAGCCACTGCATCTGGAGCGATTACTGAAGAGGAAGTAAAGAGTGTGCAAGCAGCATGGGCCAATGCCATCAGGAGCATCTCCAAGACTTATCTTGAGGGAGGCGACTACGTTGCAGCTGCTGCCAAAGCAGCCGGTGAGCTCTATGGCTATGGACACACAAATGTGCTGTTCAAGCCAACCAAGGCAGCTGAAGCACAGTTTCGACCCACAGCCTCAGATGCCATGTCCTACTTTGTTGGGCACAAGGCAGTCGAGAAGGGTTATCTTGAGGATGCTGGCTTCGCCATCAACGGTGGAAAGGGATGGTCAAATGTGGTTTTTGACAACCACCAAATTGATGTCACTGGCAATGTTGCCATTGCCATGGGCAACTACTTCTTCACCAGCGCTGCAGATGGAAGCAAGACGAAAGTTGAGTACACTTTCGGCTACAAGAAGAATGCGGACGGCAAGGTGCGCATCTTCCTCCACCACTCCTCAGTGCCATACAGCGTGCCTGCAGCCACTGCATCTGGAGCGATTACTGAAGAGGAAGTAAAGAGTGTGCAAGCAGCATGGGCCAATGCCATCAAGAGTATCTCCAAGACTTATCTTGAGGGAGGCGACTACGTTGCAGCTGCTGCCAAAGCAGCCGGTGAGCTCTATGGCTATGGACACACAAATGTGCTGTTCAAGCCAACCAAGGCAGCTGAAGCACAGTTTCGACCCACAGCCTCAGATGCCATGTCCTACTTTGTTGGGCACAAGGCGGTCGAGAATGGTTATCTTGAGGATGCTGGCTTCGCCATCAACGGTGGAAAGGGATGGTCAAATGTGGTTTTTGACAACCACCAAATTGATGTCACTGGCAATGTTGCCATTGCCATGGGCAACTACTTCTTCACCAGCGCTGCAGATGGAAGCAAGACCAAAGTTGAGTACACTTTCGGCTACAAGAAAAATGCGGATGGCAAGGTGCGCATCTTCCTCCACCACTCCTCAGTGCCATACAGCGTGCCTGCAGCCACCAAAGTGCAGTCCCCAAGCTTGGTGACAACTTTGCAGCCAACAGTGGTTGGAGCATAGATTTGATCTCCGAGAGGTCTGCTTTGGTCACATCTTTAGTTTTTTTCGATGCTGACGGTGACTTGAAACAGTTGCCTGGTCTGGTGCTTTGCAAAAGTTTTATTGCACTTTTCTGCACGTTTGAGGCTTTTTAGGTTTGTCCTTTGTCCAGCTTTTGCCTCAAACATTTTTGTGCAGTATCAAATTGATTTGTACACATGATATAGATTTAATTATTGAATTTTTAGCCGGACCTAGGAGCCGGCTGCGGGGATGAAAAATCCCCACCAGAGGAGGTATCTTTCGAAGTTTTGGGAAGGGCCAATGGGCTGTCAAAGGCCCGCGCTCTTCAGCCAAGCAGCCAGTACATAGCTGTGCTTTGCTTGGAGACCCTTGCAGCTTTTCGCAATCGCCCGCCTCAAAAGTTGCATTTGGAGTCTAATTTGGAGTCTCTTTGTCTCTTGAGCGGAGTGCGTTTCTGAAGGTTTTGAATGAGATTGTCACTGCAACATCTGAGAGCTAAGACTGTAAGACTTGGTGTCTGCCAGGATCTGGTGAAGGTCCTGTGCTTTCCAGTGGATGGTGGACGGATTGTGCGAAGGAGCTTTTCAAAGACTTGGACGTGGGCAGGATGGGCTGACGCTGCCCACAAGCGTTTCTTGCAGTGGGTGGGAAAATAGTACAATTTTCGGAATATGGATGAGTATGAAAGATCGCTGCTCAAGAGAGCCTAAAGACACCCAACATTTTTATCTAGCTGTTCTGCAGTTGTTTCATTCTCGGTTCCAGCATTTAAGCTGCGCAGGCCAGCTATGCTGCAAGATGTAAAGCCAGGCTGTTTGGGATCAGGATGAATACGAGTCAAGAACGGAAGCATAGGCTAGAGGCCTTATAGGTCCTTGCAAGGTTTCTGCGTCGAAACATGCAAAACATGCACTTTGGAGATCAACAACCTTGAGGAATCTGAATTCATTGTCCAGGCATGCAGTGAATGGATTCAAATTGAGTTGAGTAGATGGCGCATCCGAAGCCATTCAAGGATACTGAAGGTGTTTTCTGCTTCCATCGTGTTAGCATCCAGCAATGTTCACTGGTCAGCCCGTGTACCCTGGACAACAGATGTATGCAGTTCCAGGTGCCGTGACTAGGCTCCCATCTCGTGTCTCTTACGTGACGAGTGGTGCTGAGATCCGCGGCATGGCTGCCCCAGCTGTGGCTTATCCACAGATGGCACCACAGATCTATGCTCCGTCAGCAATGGTCTCCCCTGGAATGCAGACTCAGACAAGGGTTGTGACCCTGAGTGTATCGGAGGCTGAGGTTCTTCTGGCACAAAAGGCTTGGTCAGATGCAATCAAACACATTTCCAAGACCTATCTTGAGGGAGGCGACTACGTTGCAGCTGCTGCCAAAGCAGCCGGTGAGCTCTATGGCTATGGCCACTCTGATGTGCTGTTCAAGCCAACCAAGGCAGCTGAAGCACAGTTTCGACCCACAGCCTCAGATGCCATGTCCTACTTTGTTGGGCACAAGGCAGTCGAGAACGGTTATCTTGAGGATGCTGGCTTCGCCATCAACGGTGGAAAGGGATGGTCAAATGTGGTTTTTGACAACCACAAAATTAATGTCAGCGGCAATGTTGCCATTGCCATGGGCAACTACTTTTTCACCAGCGCTGCAGATGGAAGCAAGACCAAAGTTGAGTACACTTTCGGCTACAAGAAGAATGCGGACGGCAAGGTGCGCATCTTCCTCCACCATTCGTCAGTGCCATACAGCGTGCCTGCAGCCACTGCATCTGGAGCGATTACTGAAGAGGAAGTAAAGAGTGTGCAGGCAGCATGGGCCAATGCCATCAGGAGTATCTCCAAGACTTATCTTGACGGTGCGACTAATTTTGCCAGCTGCTGCCAAATCAGCCGTGAGCTCTATGGCTTGGACGACACAGATGTGCTGTTCAAGCCAACCAAAGCAGCCGAAGCGCAGTTTCGACCCACAGCCTCCGATGCCATGTCCTATTTTGTTGGGCACAAGGCTGTGGAGAATGGTTATCTTGAGGATGCTGGTTTTGCCATCAACGGTGGAAAGGGATGGTCGAACGTGGCTTTTGATAACCATAAAATCGATGTCAGCGGCAATGTTGCCATTGCCATGGGCAACTACTTCTTCACCAGTGCTGCAGATGGAAGCAAGACCAAAGTTGAGTACACTTTCGCTACAAGAAGAATGCGGATTGGCAAGGTGGCGCAATCTTCCTCCACCACTCCTCATTTGCCATCAGCGTGGCCTGCAGCCACTGCATCTGGGCGATTACTGGAAGAGGAAGTAAAGAGTGTGCAAGCAGCATGGGCCAATGCCATCAGGAGCATCTCCAAGACTTATCTTGACGGAGGCGACTACGTTGCAGCTGCTGCCAAAGCAGCCGGTGAGCTCTATGGCTATGGACACACAAATGTGCTGTTCAAGCCAACCAAGGCAGCTGAAGCACAGTTTCGACCCACAGCCTCAGATGCCATGTCCTACTTTGTTGGGCACAGAGCGGTCGAGAACGGTTATCTTGAGGATGCTGGCTTCGCCATCAACGGTGGAAAGGGATGGTCAGATGTGGTTTTTGACAACCACCAAATTGATGTCACTGGCAATGTTGCCATTGCCATGGGCAACTACTTCTTCACCAGCGCTGCAGATGGAAGCAAGACCAAAGTTGAGTACACTTTTGGCTACAAGAAGAATGCGGATGGCAAGGTGCGTATCTTCCTCCACCACTCCTCAGTGCCATACAGCGTGCCTGCAGCCACTGCATCTGGGGGGGTGCGCGTTCGCTTCGGCCGTATTTTTCAATCGCTTTGGTCATCTGGAGCGATTACTGAAGGGGAAGTAAAGAGTGTGCAGGAAGCATGGGCCAATGCCATCAAGAGTATCTCCAAGACTTATCTTGACGGAGGCGACTACGTTGCAGCTGCTGCCAAAGCAGCCGGTGAGCTCTATGGCTATGGACACACAAATGTGCTGTTCAAGCCAACCAAGGCAGCTGAAGCACAGTTTCGACCCACAGCCTCAGATGCCATGTCCTACTTTGTTGGGCACAGAGCGGTCGAGAAGGGTTATCTTGAGGATGCTGGCTTCGCCATCAACGGTGGGAAGGGATGGTCGAACGTGGTTTTTGACAACCACCAAATTGATGTCACTGGCAATGTTGCCATTGCCATGGGCAACTACTTCTTCACCAGCGCAGCAGATGGAAGCAAGACCAAAGTTGAGTACACTTTCGGCTACAAGAAGAATGCGGACGGCAAGGTGCGCATCTTCCTCCACCACTCCTCAGTGCCATACAGCGTGCCTGCAGCCACCAAAGTGCAGTCCCCAAGCTTGGTGACAACTTTGCAGCCAACATTGATTGGAGCATAGATTTGATCTCTGAGAGGCCTGCTTTGGTCACATCTTTAGTTTTTTTTCGATGCTGACGGTGACTTGAAACAGTTGCCTGGTCTGGTGCTTTGAAACAATTTGAAACAGCTTTATTGCACTTTTCTGCACGTTTGAGGCTTTTTAGGTTTGTCCTTTGTCCAGCTTTTGCCTCAAGCATTTTTGTGCAGTATCAAATTGATTTTCACACATTATAAGTGGGGCTGGCGCCCCTATGCCGCCGACCCCTGGGACCAGTTGGCTCAAACTCGCTTTCTGAACGCCAAGAAAGGACGGATCGGGCCCGCGGCCGGCAGCCCAGAGTGCCAAACACTTTCTGAACGCCGAGAAACTAGTTGCAAACCTTGCTTTTACCTGCCGTTCTGCACTGCCAGCTTCCAAATGGCTTGCTGCGTCTTGCAGGTGGCGTTCGTCTGGCACACCTCAGGTCCAAGGACGCTGCCGCAGCACCAAAACACCATGGCAGTGAAGGACGGATCGGGCCCGCGGCCAGCAGCCCAGAGTGCCAAACGTCGCTTTCTGAACGCTTAGAAACTAGTTGCAAACCTTGCCTTTACCTGCCTTTCGGCACTGCCAGCTTCCAAAGTGCGTGCTGCGTCTGCTTTCTGAACGCGTAGAACCTAGTTGCAAACCTTGGATGTTTTAGTTTCTGGAAGACTGAGTAAGCAAACCACGTCTTGACGCCGTGTGGTGCTCAAGTGATAAGAGGGGTCATGAAAGTAGAAGCTCTTTTCCTGACCTGGTGTCTTAGATTCCTGGAAGTGGGCTATAGAGGAGGTACCACTAAGGAGCCTACGATAGTGGATTGCAATCATACTTGTATCTGCGAAGTGGAGACCTTGAAGTGTCCTGATTGTCCTTTTCTTTTGATTTGGCTGTTAGGCCTAGCTACTGGGGTGATCCTAGCAACGATCAGTCGGGAATTGACATTAATTGGTTCTTGGCGGCGGAATGGCCGGGGCAGTCAGAGACGCCACGGTGGCGGAGTTGTCAGACCTCCGGGTTGGGAAGACACTGGCCGTGTGGTTCTCCGATGACCACGTTTGGCATGAGAGGTTGGTTCTTTGGCCATCAGGTACCACCCCCACCAGCTATTATATCCTCACTCCAGATGATGATGTTTATGTGGAGGAGTTGGATCCTGGAGTCAGTGATGGGCCAGCAAGGACACGTATCAAAGGAGATACCTTCAACTACTGGAGCCGTTTCAGAGAAGGTACTTACAGGTTCTCCCAGGGTGTTGATGATGATGAATTCAAGAGGTCGATTGAGATCGCCATTAAGGAGTCCAAAGATGCCGGGACTTGGGACGATTCCAAAGTCCCTCCCACTTTGCTCGATCGCAAGGGCCGCGAAGTCTCAACCACTGCCTACCTAGGGCGCGTCGTTTCTCGTCGCCGAATGACTGGCAAGGGGCTTCATCAAGGGCCCCAACTTGCGGCTGGCCTTGGAGTTGCAGACTATGACCCCGACCTCAAGAGCAGAATGAAACCTTTGGTGGTTGCCCCCGAGGGGTATGTTTGGATATCAGAGGAGGCTTCAAAGGCGGTAGGACTTGGAGAGGAGTTGCTAGTAGAACGGGGTCGAGGTGTTATGGTTAGCGATGAGGTTGGCTTGGTGATGTTGCGAGGAGATTGGATCAAAGGCAGGTTGAAGAAGGTCGTGGATGTCCCTTCATATGCTGAGGAGCTGAAGGGTCGATATATGGATACAGCGCTTCCTGCGTTGGAGGAGTTGGAGACTGGCGCAGCAGCAGGAGTTTCAAAGGCCGACGACGAGGAGGCCGAGGCACCTGAGGACATCCGAATCCTCAGAGTGGACTATGATAGCCAGGGCGATAGATATAAGGATTACAAAGAATCTGTCCGGGAACTGTCTGAACACTCTTTCCCTGATTGGCCTCATGAAGGACCCATGTCAGTGCTCCATTTGGCCAAGCACATGCTGAGGAGTGGTGGCGACCCGAAGTCCTGGTTGAATGAGTGGTCCCGCGCCAAGGAAGTGGGCGAACAGGATCGTGTGATGTACGAGCTTCGGACGCTCGTTGAGGCCTTCCATTACGCTTGCACATACGATCAACTCAATGTGGCATCCCTGTCGAGTTTTGAGACTCTTGCTCGTCGAGTTCAAGCCATAGTTGATGCTTATGCCTCTGGCCCTCGAGGAAGCCCAGACTGGGGCTCAGCTCGGTACTTGACCGGCTACAAGGGCCCAGAGGATGCTGTGAGCCCCCAGCTGATTAGCTGGGTTTCCAGAAGGGGAAGGAACAGGCCGACTTGGCCAACGCTCGAGCGAAGATAAAGGATGGGCGAAGAGGAGTTTTGGCTGATGAGGCGCAGGCTGTTGCTGGAGGAGGGCTTCCTGCTTCAAAGGCAGCTCCGAAGCCGAAGAGAAAGCCGGGGAAGGGCCTTGCCCCCCCGGCTGATTCATGACTGACCTCCCTCCTGGCCCTGGGCTTGCTCCCGACCAGGGCCAACCTTTTCACCAGGGGGCAGGGAAGCTGAGGGCTTCTCCGGGCAATCGCGACTTGTTTCCTCTGCCATTGCCCGAATCAGTGTGCCAATCCTTCTCTTTGAGCCGACGGTCACAGCAAAGGTTTGATCGGAAGAGGCTGTTGGAGGAGGACGTCCGGGAAGCCACAAAAGGGTTGAACTGGATGAATGGTTTTTCACAGACTTTTGAATTCAATGATGTTGGACCAGATTCAATGCAACGAGAGGTTCTGGATCGGGTTCGGCACCTGTGCAAGACGGCAGTCGACGTCGGCACCTTTGCCAAGGTCGACCACCCGGAGGCAGCCCTCAAGGCGCTGCTCCAAGGGAGGTCTGAGTATCAAGACCATGACTTCCCTGTGTCACTGGCACGATTTGACCTTGAACGCATCTCCCTTCCGGATACCCTTGAAGGGGTACCGGAGGTAGCTTCAGTGCTGCCTGAGGAGGCCCGTCAATATTTGAATTCGCCGGAGCACATGGTCAAGGATGAGGAGTTGAGGGAGGAGCCTATATTGTGCCTTACTATGACCCTGCCCTCAAAGTTAGACGCAACTACAGGAGCCTCATTGAGAAGCTACATAAACTGGGGTATTTGAGGTATACCAGGAACCCAAAAGCTAGAGCCGGTATCTTCTTTGTTCACAAGTCGGACGGCAGGAAGATTCGAATGATTGTGGATGCCCGTCCGGCCAACCAGCTGTTCAAGGCGCCGCCGGGCGTCCAGCTATGCACTTCAGAGGGTTTTTCTAGGATGGAGATCGAGGTGCCCCCTGATATAATCCCTGGGACAGAGGAGTTTGCAGCATATTTGAAAGGTCGAGGTCTCTATTTTGGTCTGGCGGATGTGAAAGATTGTTTTCATCGGCTTAGGCAACCAAAATGGCTATCAGAGTATTTTTGCTGGGACCCCATTCCTGCCCACTGGATTTCAGACATGGTTGGTGTTCATCTGGATGGCATCCCTTTGGACAGAGGAGAGCAAGTATTCCCGATGCCGGCCTCGTTGTGTATGGGTTTTTCTTGGTCATTGTATTTCGCTCAGATGGCGAATGAACACCTCATGACCCGAGTTCCTACACTGGCAGGTTCGACGGCTGTTTCCGACAGAGGGCCGCCGGTGGTCTTCAAAGCTGAGGAGGTTGGCGCTGTCAGACATTATGTTTATGTTGACAACTTAGGCATTATCAGTCCTCACCAAGGTATCGTCCAGGAGGGTCTTAAAGAGCTAGGGCCGGAGTTCGATGAGCGGGGTCTTATTTTGCATCCTGGTGAGATTCAACATGAGGAGATACATGCCTTAGGAGTTTTCATGAAGGGGGATTTGATGGCGGCCAGGATTTCTCCAAAGCGTCATTGCCGCCTCAAACAAGCTATTACAGGAGTGCTGAGGAGGCGAAAGATTTCTGGACGACTGCTGGAAATCGTTCTCGGTCATATCACGTCTTGTTGCCTGTGCAATCGCCAATTGTTGTGCATCTTCTCGTCTATCTATAAATTTGTGAGGAGGAACTACTTTGAGGCTGTTCCACTCTGGGATAGTGTTAGAGAGGAGCTAGAAGCCTTTCGAGGGTTGATGGTTTTCTTGCATAGCGACTGGTGGCGAAGCTGGAATCCATTGGTTTCATCCTCAGACGCCTCCTTGGAAGGCTTCGGGGTGTCTACAGCCTTCTGGCCTATTGAGGAGGTGAAGAAGGTGGGAAGACAGGTGGAACGTGCTCGGTTTAGGAGACCATCTACCACTCATGCTAGGCACAGTGCATTAGGAGCAGCAGGGTTTGTTCAAGACGAACTCACAAAGAAGTGGAGAAGTAGAGAACTAGATGATGAGGAGTTTGTTGAAGCCAGTGGCTGGGAGATCAACCCCGCCTTCACTGAGGTGCCATCTGAGTTGCTGGCCAAGCAGCTTTGGGAGCCGAAGCTCTGGGGCCGGTGGAGCTTTGAAGCCGGGATCCTGGAGCTGGAGGGTAGGGCGCTGGTGAAGAGCTTGAAGAGGGTTGCACTCTCTAGATTTGGTAAGGATATTAGACAGCTCCTTCTGGTTGACAACATGGCGGTTGCATTATGTTTTGATAGATTTCGGTCTAGGAACTACAGGCTTTTGAGGCAGATCAGAAGGTACTCATCATATTTGTTGGCCCGTAATATAGCTGCGTCAGTGAGATGGATTCCATCAGAGTTCAACAGTTCAGATGAGCCAAGCCGTTTTTTCTCAGAAGAGGAGAGCAAGCTTTTGACGCATCTCCTTGGTTTCAAGCATGCCGGCCTCGAAGAAGGCCAGACAGGAGACCCATTTGAGGCCTCCGCTGCCAAGGCGGAGAACCAGAGCTGCGGAGAAGACAGGGGTCCTGAAGGGTGCCTGTCCGAAGACACGCGCATCCAGCAGCACAAGTCTGGCCGCCCCAAACCTGGGACGGGATCTGGCCTCTCCCAAGGCACACTACCTTCCAGGGAGGTCATCAGGCTTCAGCCTGCTGGGCTTGGACCTGCCAAGCTTCAAAGGGCCGGCAGCCAGGAAGAGGGAGGGCTCTTCATCCAGTACGAGCGAGACCAGCCATGCCAAGCCTACCAAGGGGAAGGTCCACTCTCGAGATCGAGTGGATCAAGTGATGGGCAGTGGCATCTTGACGCTGCTGGAGAAGAATGCGGTTGGTCCGCAGACCTCAAAGAGCTATGCCAAGGCGTTGGAGGAGTTCAGCCGATTTGGCATTCCCAGAGGCTTGGATTGGGAGGATGCCGACAAAGTGGACAAGTTGACTGTGGATTTCCTGAACGAGATGTACCTGGCCGGACACCAGGCCTACAAGGGGGATCGGCTTGTGGCCAGCATCTTGCACCACTACCCAAGTATGGAGCCAAGAAGCTACCCAGGATGTGGCGTGCAGTGAGGGGCTTCAGAAAGCTCACGCCCGGCAAGAGCCGGTTGGCGTATCCCCTTCCAGTTTGGGCGGCAATGGCAGTCCAACTCAAACTGGCGGGCTACCTGAGGATGGCCCTGTTTGTCCTCGTGTCCGTCTCAAGCTATGCGAGGCCCTCGGAGTTGCTGCGGATGAGGTTGTTCAGTTTGGTACGGCCGGTGGCGGGTGTGACCACGAGCTGGGCCTTGCTGCTCAGCCCAGAAGAGTCCGAGCAAAGGTCAAAAACAGGGGAGTTCGATGTGAACATTGCGGTCGACAGCCCATACCTCCTCCCATGGATTCACCGATTCTTCACTCACCTCAAGAAGGGTCATCCCGAGGAGGCGCTTTGGGACTTCAACTACGACGAGTACCGAAAAGAGTTCAGCAAGGCAGCCGAGGTCTTGGGACTGGACATCACTCCTTATCAGACCCGGCACTCCGGTCCAAGCATAGACCGGGCCAAGAAGTGGAGATCGCAGCACGAAGTTCAGAAGCGAGGGCAGTGGAAGAGCCAGAAAAGTATCAACCGATACGAGAAAAGCGCCAGGTTGGCGGCGACCTTCGACAGTCTTCCAATTGCTCTTCAATCCCACTGCCGTCTCTGCGAGCAAGACCTTTCGGAAATCATGTGTGGTACCCTCCAACCGCACAGGTTTGGAGGCACCAAGGTTTCGAAGGCCAGTATGTGATGGATCTTTTTGGAGGTGCCGGAGGAGTGAGTAAAGCGTGTAAGCGGATAGGATTCAATGCAAAGCTTTGGGATCTTAGATTTGGTCCTTTACATGACATCACCGACAAGCGCACCTTGCAGCGCATTTTACAGGAGATCAGAAAGGGAAGAGTTCTAGCTGTCATGATGGCGCCTGTTTGCACTTCTTTTTCACGAGCCAGAGACCGCACAAAGGTTATCAGGTCTTCTCGATTTCCATGGGGTATTCCTAGGAGGTTTTTATCGGACCACGAAGCTAGCAGTATCATTACTGGCAATGCCGTGTTTCGAGCATGCTTCAAGATCATTGACGAGTGCGAGGCATCAGGTATTCCTTGGATCTTAGAGAACCCGCTTCATAGTCGGTGTTGGAATCTACCATATTTGAGAAGGCTTCTTAACGACCCTGCTTTCTTGCCAGTTCAAGCAGATTTCTGTCAATTTGGAACCACATGGAAGAAACCAACTCTTTTCCTTTCAAGCCGCATTGATGATGTCCACAAACTGCACCGCACTTGCCAAGGTCAACATGGGTGGTGCAGTCGCACTTCAGAGAGGCACTTCCTGTTGACCGGGTCAGGGCCTGGTGGTCGCCCATGGACCAAGATTGCTGAGCCGTATCCCACTAAACTTTGCAGAGCATTGGCACACGTCCTCACCTGCCGATATCACACCATGACTAACCTACCCTAACAATTCTGGTTAACATCCCATCTATGATTTGGGTGGATGACTTGGGGGTGTCTATTTGATGAGGAGATTTGAAGGGCAGCACTTATTTGAAGAGTTGAGAAGGAGTTTAGAAGGAGGAGTTGAAGTGCTGCCTTTTTTCGAATGTTGTGTCATGCATGCTTGACCAAGCATACCGAGCCAGCTGAACATGAGAAAAAGATATGACCGCTGAGTGGTGAGCTGAATTGAAGTCTGGATGTTTTAGTTTCTGGAAGACTGAGTAAGCAAACCACGCCTTGACGCCGTGTGGTGCTCAAGTGACCCAAAACCCGCCCATCCCTTGGGGGGTGTCTATTTGATGAGGAGATTTGAAGGGCAGCACTTATTTGAAGAGTTGAGAAGGAGTTTAGAAGGAGGAGTTGAAGTGCTGCCTTTTTTCGAATGTTGTGTCATGCATGCTTGACCAAGCATACCGAGCCAGCTGAACATGAGAAAAAGATATGACCGCTGAGTGGTGAGCTGAATTGAAGTCTGCCTTTACCTGCCGTTCGGCACTGCCAGCTTCCGAAGTGCGTGCTGCGTCTGCTTCTGAACGCGTAGAACCTAGTTGCAAACCTTGTCTTTACCTGCCGTTCGGCACTGCCAGCTTCCAAATTGCTTGCTGCGTCTGCTTTCTGAACGCCTAGAAACTAGTTGCAAACCTTGTCTTTACCTGCCGTTCGGCACTGCCAGCTTCCAAATTGCTTGCTGCGTCTGCTTTCTGAACGCCTAGAAACTAGTTGCAAACGTTGCCTTTACCTGCCGTTCGGCACTGCCAGCTTCCAAAGTGCGTGCTGCGTCTGCTTTCTGAACGCGCAGAACCTAGTTGCAAACCTTGCCTTTACCTGCCGTTCGGCACTGCCAGCTTCCAAATTGCTTGCTGCGTCTGCTTTCTGAACGCCGAGAAACTAGTTGCAAACGTTGCCTTTACCTGCCGTTCTGCACTGCCAGCTTCCAAATTGCTTGCTGCGTCTCGCAGGTGGCATTCGTCTGGCATACCGCAGGTCCAAGGACGCTGCCGCAGCACCAAAACACGATGGCACTGAAGGACGGATCGGGCCCGCGGCCGGCAGCCCAGAGTGCCAAACGTCGCTTTCTGAACGCCTATAGAAACTAGCTGCAAACCTTGCCTTTACCTGCCGTTCGGCACTGCCAGCTTCCAAATTGCTTGCTGCGTGCCGTTCTGCACTGCCAGCTTCCAAAGTGCTTGCTGCGTCGTGCTGGTGGCGTTCGTCTGGCGCACCTCGGGTCCAAGGATGCTGCCGCAGCACCAAAGCACCATGGCAGTGAAGGGCGGATCGGGCCCGCGGCCGGCAGCCCAGAGTGCCAAACGTTGCTTTCTGAACGCCTAGAAACTAGCTGCAAACCTTGCCTTTACCTGCCGTTCTGCACTGCCAGCTTCCTAATGGCTTGCTGCGTCTTGCAGGTGGCGTTCGTCTGGCAGCACCACAACACCATGGCAGTGAAGGACGGATCGGGCCTGCGGCCGGCAGCCCGGAGTGCCAAACGTCGCATTCTGAACGCCTAGAAACTAGCTGCAAACCTTGCCTTTACCTGCCGTTCGGCACTGCCAGCTTCCAAATTGCTTGCTGCGTCTTGCAGGTGGTGTTCGTCTGGCACACCTCAGGTTCAAGGACGCTGCGGCAGCACCGAAACACCATGGCAGTGAAGGACGGATCGGGCCCGCGACCAGCAGCCCAGAGTGCCAAGCGTCGCTTTCTGAACGCCTATAGAAACTAGTTGCAAACCTTGCCTTTACCTGCCGTTCGGCGCTGCCAGCTTCCAAATTGCTTGTGCAGCGTCTCGCAGGTGGCGTTTGTCTGGCACACCTCAGGTCCAAGGACTGCCGCATTACCAAAACACCATGGCAGTGAAGGACGGATCGGGCCCGCGGCCGGCAGCCCAGACTCCAAACGTTGCTTCCTGAACGTCAGAAACTAGTTGCAAACCTTGCCTTTGCTTGACAAAAGTTGCTTCTCTCACGCGCTCCCCCGCTACAGCAGGGGTCGGCGGATATAGATTTAAATTTTAATGATAGATTTTTTTAGCCGGACCTAGGAGCCGGCGCCGCGGGGATGAACCATTCCCACCAGAGGAGGTATCTTTCGAAGTTTTGGGAAGGGCCAATGGGCTGTCAAAGGCCCGCGCTCTTCAGCCAAGCAGCCAGTACATAGCTGTGCTTTGCTTGGAGACCCTTGCAGCTTTTCGCAATCGCCCGCCTCAAAAGTTGCATTTGGAGTCCAATTTGGAGTCTCTTTGTCTGGAGTGCGTTTCTGAAGGTTTTGAATGAGATTGTCACTGCAACATCTGAGAGCTAAGACTGTAAGACCCTGGTGTCTGCCAGGATCTGGTGAAGGTCATGTGCTTTCCAGTGGATGGTGGACGGATTGTGCGAAGGAACTTTTCAAAGGCTTGGACGTGGGCAGGATGGGCTGCTTGCAGTGGGTGGGAAAATAGTAGAATATTCGGAATATGGATGAGTATGAAAGATCGTTGCTCAAGAGAGCCTAAAGACACCCAACATTTTTATCTAGCTGTTCTGCAATTGCTTCATTCTCGGTTCCAGCATTTAAGCTGCGCAGGCCAGCTATGCTGCAAGATGTAAAGCAAGGCTGTTTGGGATCAGGATGAATACGAGTCAAGAACGGAAGCATAGGCTAGAGGCCTTATAGGTCCTTGCAAGGTTTCTGCGCCGAAACATGCAAAACATGCACTTTGGAGATCAACAATCTTGAGGAATCTGAATTCATTGTTCAGGCATGCAGTGAATGGATTCAGATTGAGTTGAGTAGATGGCGCATCCGAAGCAAGGATACTGAAGGTGTTTTCTGCTTCCATCGTGTTAGCATCTAGCAATGTTCACTGGACAGCCCGTGTACCCAGCTGGTGTGGCTTATCCACAGATGGCACCACAGATCTATGCTCCGTCAGCAATGGTCTCCCCTGGAATGCAGACTCAGACAAGGGTTGTGACCCTGAGTGTATCGGAGGCTGAGGTTCTTCTGGCACAAAAGGCTTGGTCAGATGCAATCAAACACATTTCCAAGACCTATCTTGAGGGAGGCGACTACGTTGCAGCTGCTGCCAAAGCAGCCGGTGAGCTCTATGGCTATGGCCACTCTGATGTGCTGTTCAAGCCAACCAAGGCAGCTGAAGCCCAGTTTCGACCCACAGCCTCAGATGCCATGTCCTACTTTGTTGGGCACAAGGCAGTCGAGGATGGTTATCTTGAGGATGCTGGCTTCGCCATCAACGGTGGAAAGGGATGGTCAAATGTGGTTTTTGACAACCACAAAATTCATGTCAGCGGCAATGTTGCCATTGCCATGGGCAACTACTTTTTCACCAGCGCTGCAGATGGAAGCAAGACCAAAGTTGAGTACACTTTCGGCTACAAGAAGAATGCGGACGGCAAGGTGCGCATCTTCCTCCACCACTCCTCAGTGCCATACAGCGTGCCTGCAGCCACTGCATCTGGAGCGATTACTGAAGAGGAAGTAAAGAGTGTGCAGGCAGCATGGGCCAATGCCATCAGGAGTATCTCCAAGACTTATCTTGACGGAGGCGACTATGTTGCAGCTGCTGCCAAAGCAGCCGGTGAGCTCTATGGCTATGGACACACAAATGTGCTGTTCAAGCCAACCAAGGCAGCTGAAGCACAGTTTCGACCCACAGCCTCAGATGCCATGTCCTACTTTGTTGGACACAAGGCAGTCGAGAAGGGTTATCTTGAGGATGCTGGCTTCGCCATCAACGGTGGAAGGGATGGTCAAATGTGGTTTTTGACAACCCCCAAATTGATGTCACTGGCAATGTTGCCATTGCCATGGGCAACTACTTCTTCACCAGCGCTGCAGATGGAAGCAAGACCAAAGTTGAGTACACCTTCGGCTACAAGAAGAATGCGGATGGCAAGGTGCGCATCTTCCTCCACCACTCGTCAGTGCCATACAGCGTGCCTGCAGCCACTGCATCTGGAGCGATTACTGAAGAGGAAGTAAAGAGTGTGCAGGCAGCATGGGCCAATGCAATCAGGAGTATCTCCAAGACTTATCTTGACGGAGGCGACTACGTTGCAGCTGCTGCCAAAGCAGCCGGTGAGCTCTATGGCTATGGACACACAAATGTGCTGTTCAAGCCAACCAAGGCAGCTGAAGCCCAGTTTCGACCCACAGCCTCAGATGCCATGTCCTACTTTGTTGGGCACAGAGCGGTCGAGAAGGGTTATCTTGAGGATGCTGGCTTCGCCATCAACGGTGGGAAGGGATGGTCAAATGTGGTTTTTGACAACCACCAAATTGATGTCACTGGCAATGTTGCCATTGCCATGGGCAACTACTTCTTCACAAGCGCAGCAGATGGCAGCAAGACGAAAGTTGAGTACACTTTCGGCTACAAGAAGAATGCGGACGGCAAGGTGCGCATCTTCCTCCACCACTCGTCAGTGCCATACAGCGTGCCTGCAGCCACTGCATCTGGAGCGATTACTGAAGAGGAAGTAAAGAGTGTGCAGGCAGCATGGGCCAATGCCATCAGGAGTATCTCCAAGACTTATCTTGACGGAGGCGACTATGTTGCAGCTGCTGCCAAAGCAGCCGGTGAGCTCTATGGCTATGGACACACAATGTGCTGTTCAAGCCAACCAAGGCAGCTGAAGCACAGTTTCGACCCACAGCCTCAGATGCCATGTCCTACTTTGTTGGGCACAAGGCAGTCGAGAAGGGTTATCTTGAGGATGCTGGCTTCGCCATCAACGGTGGAAAGGGATGGTCAAATGTGGTTTTTGACAACCACCAAATTGATGTCACTGGCAATGTTGCCATTGCCATGGGCAACTACTTCTTCACCAGCGCTGCAGATGGAAGCAAGACGAAAGTTGAGTACACTTTCGGCTACAAGAAGAATGCGGATGGCAAGGTGCGCATCTTCCTCCACCACTCCTCAGTGCCATACAGCGTGCCTGCAGCCACCAAAGTGCAGTCCCCAAGCTTGGTGACAACTTTGCAGCCAACATTGGTTGGAGCATAGATTGGAGCTCTGAGAGGCCTGCTTTGGTCACATCTTTAGTTTTTTTCCATGCTGACGGTGACTTGAAACAGTTGCCTGGTCTGGTGCTTTGCAAAAGTTTTATTGCACTTTTCTGCACGTTTGAGGCTTTTTAGGTTTGTCCTTTGTCCAGCTTTTGCCTCAAACATTTTTGTGCAGTATCAAATTGATTTGTACACATGATATAGATTTAATGATTGAATTTTTTAGCCGGACCTAGGAGCCGGCTGCGGGGATGAAACATTCCCACCAGAGGAGGTATCTTTCGAAGTTTTGGGAAGGGCCAATGGGCTGCCGAAGTCCTAAGCTCTTCAACCAAGCAGCCAGTACATACCTGTGCTTTGCTTGGAGACCCTTGCAGCTTTTCGCAATCGCCCGCCTCAAAAGTTGCATTTGGAGTCCAATTTGGAGTCTCTTTGTTTCTTGGGTGGAGTGCGTTTCTGAAGGTTTTGAATGAGATTGTCACTGCAACATCTGAGAGCTAAGACTGTAAGACTTGGTGTCTGCCAGGATCTGGTGATGGCCCTGTGCTTTCCAGTGGATGGTGGACGGATTGTGCGAAGGAGCTTTTCAAAGGCTTGGACGTGGGCAGGATGGGCTGACGCTGCCCACAAGCGTTTCTTGCAGCGGGTGGGAAAATAGTAGAATATTCGGAATATGGATGAGTATGAAAGATCGTTGCTCAAGAGAGCCTAAAGACACCCAACATTTTATCTAGCTGTTCTGCTTGAGTTGTTTCATTCTCGGTTCCAGCATTTAAGCTGCGCAGGCCAGCTATGCTGCAAGATGTAAAGCAAGGCTGTTTGGGATCAGGATGAATACGAGTCAAGAACGGAAGCATAGGCCTTATAGGTCCTTGCAAGGTTTCTGCGTCGAAACATGCAAAACATGCACTTTGGAGATCAACAATCTTGAGGAATCTGAATTCATTGTCCAGGCATGCAGTGAATGGATTCAGATTGAGTTGAGTAGATGGCGCATCCGAAGCCATTCAAGGATACTGAAGGTGTTTTCTGCTTCCATCGTGTTAGCATCTAGCAATGTTCACTGGACAGCCGTGTACCCTGGACAACAGATGTATGCAGTTCCAGGTGCCGTGACTACGCTCCCATCTCGTGTCTCTTACGTGACGAGTGGTGCTGAGATCCCTGGCGGCATGGCTGCCCCAGCTGGTGTGGCTTATCCACAGATGGCACCACAGATCTATGCTCCGTCAGCAATGGTCTCCCCTGGAATGCAGACTCAGACAAGGGTTGTGACCCTGAGTGTATCGGAGGCTGAGGTTCTTCTGGCACAAAAGGCTTGGTCAGATGCAATCAAACACATTTCCAAGACCTATCTTGAGGGAGGCGACTACGTTGCAGCTGCTGCCAAAGCAGCCGGTGAGCTCTATGGCTATGGCCACTCTGATGTGCTGTTCAAGCCAACCAAGGCAGCTGAAGCACAGTTTCGACCCACAGCCTCAGATGCCATGTCCTACTTTGTTGGGCACAAGGCGGTCGAGAATGGGTTATCTTGAGGATGCTGGCTTCGCCATCAACGGTGGAAAGGGATGGTCAAATGTGGTTTTTGACAACCACAAAATTCATGTCAGCGGCAATGTTGCCATTGCCATGGGCAACTACTTTTTCACCAGCGCTGCAGATGGAAGCAAGACCAAAGTTGAGTACACTTTCGGCTACAAGAAGAATGCGGACGGCAAGGTGCGCATCTTCCTCCACCACTCGTCAGTGCCATACAGCGTGCCTGCAGCCACTGCATCTGGAGCGATTACTGAAGAGGAAGTAAAGAGTGTGCAGGCAGCATGGGCCAATGCCATCAGGAGTATCTCCAAGACTTATCTTGACGGAGGCGACTACGTTGCAGCTGCTGCCAAAGCAGCCGGTGAGCTCTATGGCTATGGACACACAAATGTGCTGTTCAAGCCAACCAAGGCAGCTGAAGCACAGTTTCGACCCACAGCCTCAGATGCCATGTCTTACTTTGTTGGACACAAGGCAGTCGAGAAGGGTTATCTTGAGGATGCTGGCTTCGCCATCAACGGTGGAAAGGGATGGTCAAATGTGGTTTTTGACAACCACCAAATTGATGTCAGCGGCAATGTTGCCATTGCCATGGGCAACTACTTTTTCACCAGCGCTGCAGATGGAAGCAAGACCAAAGTTGAGTACACTTTCGGCTACAAGAAGAATGCGGACGGCAAGGTGCGCATCTTCCTCCACCACTCCTCAGTGCCATACAGCGTGCCTGCAGCCACTGCATCTGGAGCGATTACTGAAGAGGAAGTAAAGAGTGTGCAGGCAGCATGGGCCAATGCCATCAAGAGTATCTCCAAGACTTATCTTGAGGGAGGCGGACTACGTTGCAGCTGCTGCCAAAGCAGCCCGGTGAGCTCTATGGCTATGGACACACAAATGTGCTGTTCAAGCCAACCAAGGCAGCTGAAGCCCAGTTTCGACCCACAGCCTCAGATGCCATGTCCTACTTTGTTGGGCACAAGGCAGTCGAGAAGGGTTATCTTGAGGATGCTGGCTTCGCCATCAACGGTGGAAAGGGATGGTCAAATGTGGTTTTTGACAACCACCAAATTGATGTCACTGGCAATGTTGCCATTGCCATGGGCAACTACTTCTTCACCAGCGCTGCAGATGGCAGCAAGACCAAAGTTGAGTACACTTTCGGCTACAAGAAGAATGCGGACGGCAAGGTGCGCATCTTCCTCCACCACTCCTCAGTGCCATACAGCGTGCCTGCAGCCACTGCATCTGGAGCGATTACTGAAGAGGAAGTAAAGAGTGTGCAAGCAGCATGGGCCAATGCCATCAGGAGCATCTCCAAGACTTATCTTGAGGGAGGCGACTACGTTGCAGCTGCTGCCAAAGCAGCCGGTGAGCTCTATGGCTATGGACACACAAATGTGCTGTTCAAGCCAACCAAGGCAGCTGAAGCACAGTTTCGACCCACAGCCTCAGATGCCATGTCCTACTTTGTTGGGCACAGAGCGGTCGAGAAGGGTTATCTTGAGGTTGCTGGCTTCGCCATCAACGGTGGAAAGGGATGGTCAAATGTGGTTTTTGACAACCACCAAATTGATGTCACTGGCAATGTTGCCATTGCCATGGGCAACTACTTCTTCACCAGCGCTGAGTACACTTTCGGCTACAAGAAAAATGCGGATGGCAAGGTGCGCATCTTCCTCCACCACTCCTCAGTGCCATACAGCGTGCCTGCAGCCACCAAAGTGCAGTCCCCAAGCTTGGTGACAACTTTGCAGCCAACAGTGGTTGGAGCATAGATTTGATCTCTGAGAGGCCTGCTTTGGTCATTGGTTGGAGCATTGATTTGATCTCTGAGAGGCCTGCTTTGGTCACATCTTTAGTTCCCCAGATAGCTGGCAAGCTATAGGGGTTCTTACTTCTCAAAGGTGGGGTCTTCGGTGGTGAACTTTTGAGCAGGGTGCTGTGCAGGGTGCTGTCCAGACTGCGGTGGCGAAGTCTGGCAAAGGTGCTGTGCAGGGTGCTGTGCAGGGTGCTGTCCAGATTGCGGTGGCGAAGTCTGGCAAAGGTGCTGTGCAGGGTGCTGTGCAGGGTGCTGTGCAGGGTGCTGTCCAGACTGCGGTGGCGAAGTCTGGCGAAGGTGCTGTGCAGGGTGCTCTGCAGGGTGTTGTCCAGAGTGCGGTGGCGAAGTCTGGCAAAGGTGCTGTGCAGGGTGCTGTGCAGGGTGCTGTCCAGATTGCGGTGGCGAAGTCTGGCAAAGGTGCTGTGCAGGGAGAGTGCCCTGCAGGGTGCTGTCCAGACTGCGGTGGCGAAGTCTGGCAAAGGTGCTGTGCAGGGTGCTGTGCAGGGTGCTGTGCAGGGGGGCTGTGCAGGGTGCTGTCCAGACTGCAGTGGCGAAGTCTGGCAAAGGTGCTGCGCAAGGTGCTGAGGGTGCTGTGCAGGGTGCTGTGGGCAGGGTGCTGTCCACACTGCGGTGGCGAAGTCTGGCAAAGGTGCTGTGCAAGGTGCTGTGCACGCTGCTATCCAGACTGCGGTGGCGAAGTCTCGCAAAGGTGCTGTGCATGGTGCTGTGAAGGGTGCTGTGAAAGGTGCTGTGCAGGGTGCTGTGCAGGGTTCTGTGCAGGGTGCTGTGCAGGGTGCTGTGCAGCGTGCTGTGCTTTGTTTCCCACGTTGGGAACCATCAGTTCCAACCTTTAGGAACTGGAAGTTCTTTGCAATGGTAACCTATGGTTCCCAGGTTGGGAAGCATGAGTTCCAACCTGTGGTAACCGGCAGTTGCTTGCAATGGTAACCCATGGTTCCCAGGTTGGGAACCAGGAGTTCCAACCTCTGGGAACCGGCAGTTCCTTGCAATGGTAACCTCTGGTTCCCACGTTGGCAGCCGTGAGTTCCAATCTTTGGAAACCGGCAGTTCCTTGCCATGAACCAAACGCAAACATTCCGGTACCGGTCCATTAAGCAAAACAAAGCGTTCTGTACCGGTCCATTAAGCAAAACCATAAAGTTGTAAAGAAACTGTTTTCATATCATTTTGACATGCACCTTTTTCGTGCAAAAAACATTTTTATGCCGGCCCAACAGCCAAACGCAAACATTCCGCTACCGGTCCATTAAGCAAAACAAAAGGTTCTGTTACCGGTTCAGTAAACACAACAAAACAACATTAAGAACCATGAGGTCTAACTTTTTGCAATCAACAGATCCTTCCACTGGTAACGTTACTTTTTCAGGCTTGGAACCATGACTTTCAAGCTTTGGGAACCCGCAGTTCCTTACAATGAAAGCCGCTTAGCTTCGAACGCATAAATTCTAACTTCTGGGAACCGGCAATTCCTTGCAATGGTGACCTCTGGTTCCCAGGTTGGGAACCGTAAGTTTCAAGGTCTGGGAACCGGCAGTTCCTTGCCATGGTAACCCTTGGTTCCCACGTTGGGACCCATCAGTTCCAACCTTTAGGAACTGGAAGTTCTTTTGCAGTGGTAACCTATGGTTCCCAGGTTGGGAAGCATGAGTTCCAACCTCTGGGAACCGGCAGTCCCAGGTTGGGAACCATGACTTCTAACCTGTGGGAACCGGCAGTGCCTTGCAATGGTAACCTGTGGTTCCCACGTTGGCAACCGTGAGTTCCAACCTTTTGGAACCGGCAGTTCCTTGCCATGAACCAAACGCAAACATTCCGGTACCGGTCCATTAAGCAAAACAAAGCGTTCTTTACCGGTCCATTAAGCAAAACCATAAAGTTGTAAAGACAATGTTTTCATATCATTTTAACAGATTTTAACATGCACCTTTTTCGTGCAAAAACATTTTTATGCCGGCCCAGCAGCCGAACGCAAACATTCCGCTACCGGTCCATTAAGCAAAACAAAAGGTTCTGTTACCGGCTCAGTAAACAAAACAAAACAACAATTAAGAACCATGAGGTCTAACTTTTTGGAATCAACAGATCCTTCCACTGGTAACGTATGCTTTTTCAGGTTTGGAACCATGAGTTTCAAGCTTTCGCAACCGGCAATTCCTTACAATGATAGCCGCTTAGCTTCGAAAACATAAATTCTAACTTCTGGGAACCGGCAACTCTTTGCAATGGCAACCTCTGGTTCCCAGGTTGGGAGCCGTAAGTTTCAAGGTCTGGGCACCGGCAGTTCCTTGCCATGGTAACCTGTGGTTCCCCCGTTGGGAACCATCAGTTCCAACCTTTAGGAACCGGAAGTTCTTTGCAATGGTAACCTATGGTTCCCAGGTTTGGAAGCATGAGTTCCAACCTGTGGTAACCGGCAGTTGCTTGCAATGGTAACCCATGGTTCCCAGGTTGGGAACCAGGAGTTCCAACCTCTGGGAACCGGCAGTTCCTTGCAATGGTAACCTGTGGTTCCCACGTTGGCAACCGTGAGTTCCAACCTTTGGAAACCGGCAGTTCCTTGCCATGAACCAAACGCAAACATTCCGGTACCGGTCCATTAAGCAAAACAAAGCGTTCTGTACCGGTCCATTAAGCAAAACCATAAAATTGTAAAGAAACTGTTTTCATGTCATTTTGACATGCACCTTTTTCGTTCAAAAACATTTTTATGCCGGCCCAACAGCCAAACGCAAACATTCCGCTACCGGTCCATTAAGCAAAACAAAAGGTTCTGTTACCGGCTCAGTAAACAAAACAAAACAACATTAAGAACCATGAGTTCTAACTTTTTGCAATCAACAGATCTTTCCACTGGTAACGTTACTTTTTCAGGCTTGGAACCATGAGTTTCAAGCTTTGGGAACCCGCAGTTCCTTACAATGATAGCCGCTTAGCTTCGAAAACATAAGTTCTAACCTGTGGGACCCGGCAACTCCTTGCAATGGTAACCTCTGGTTCGCAGGTTGGGAACCGTAAGTTTCAAGGTCTGGGAACCGGCAGTTCCTTGCCATGGTAACCTGTGGTTCCCACGGTGGGACCCATCAGTTCCAACCTTTAGGAACCGGAAGTTCTTTGCAATGGTAACCTATGGTTCCCAGGTTGGGAAGCATGAGTTCCAACCTCTGGTAACCGGCAGTTGCTTGCAATGGTTAACCCATGGTTCCCAGGTTGGGAACCAGGAGTTCCAACCTCTGGGAACCGGCAGTTCCTTGCAATGGTAACCTGTGGTTCCCACGTTGGGACCCATCAGTTCCAACCTTTAGGAAACGGAAGTTCTTTGCAATGGTAACCTATGGTTCCCAGGTTGGGAAGCATGAGTTCCAACCTCTGGGAACCGGCAGTTGCTTGCAATGGTTAACCCATGGTTCCCAGGTTGGGAACCAGGAGTTCCAACCTCTGGGAACCGGCAGTTCCTTGCAATGGTAACCTGTGGTTCCCACGTTGGCAACCGTGAGTTCCAACCTTTGGAAACCGGCAGTTCCTTGCCATGAACCAAACGCAAGCATTCCGGTACCGGTCCATTAAGCAAAACAAAGCGTTCTGTACCGGTCCATTAAGCAAAACCATAAAATTGTAAAGAAACTGTTTTCATATCATGTTGACATGCACCTTTTTCGTTCACAAGCATTTTTATGCCGGCCCAACAGCCAAACGCAAACATTCCGCTACCGGTCCACTAAGCAAAACAAAAGGTTCTGTTACCGGCTCAGTAAACAAAACAAAACAACATTAAGAACCATGAGTTCTATCTTTTTGCAATCAACAGATCCTTCCACTGGTAACGTTACTTTTTCAGGCTTGGAACCATGAGTTTCAAGCTTTGGGAACCCGCAGTTCCTTACAATGAAAGCTGCTTAGCTTCGAAAACATAAATTCTAACTTCTGGGAACCGGCAATCTAGCTGTGCTGCTTGAGTTGTTTCATTCTCGGTTCCAGCATTTAAGCTGCGCAGGCCAGCTATGCTGCAAGATGTAAAGCAAGGCTGTTTGGGATCAGGATGAATACGAGTCAAGAACGGAAGCATAGGCTAGAGGCCTTATAGGTCCTTGCAAGGTTTCTGCGTCGAAACATGCAAAACATGCACTTTGGAGATCAACATCTTGAGGAATCTGAATTCATTGTCCAGGCATGCAGTGAATGGATTCAGATTGAGTTGAGTAGATGGCGCATCCGAAGCCATTCAAGGATACTGAAGGTGTTTTCTGCTTCCATCGTGTTAGCATCCAGCAATGTTCACTGGTCAGCCCGTGTACCCTGGACAACAGATGTATGCAGTTCCAGGTGCCGTGACTACGCTCCCATCTCGTGTCTCTTACGTGACGAGTGGTGCTGAGATCCCTGGCGGCATGGCTGCCCCAGCTGTGGCTTATCCACAGATGGCACCACAGATCTATGCTCCGTCAGCAATGGTCTCCCCTGGAATGCAGACTCAGACAAGGGTTGTGACCCTGAGTGTATCGGAGGCTGAGGTTCTTCTGGCACAAAAGGCTTGGTCAGATGCAATCAAACACATTTCCAAGACCTATCTTGAGGGAGGCGACTACGTTGCAGCTGCTGCCAAAGCAGCCGGTGAGCTCTATGGCTATGGCCACTCTGATGTGCTGTTCAAGCCAACCAAGGCAGCTGAAGCACAGTTTCGACCCACAGCCTCAGATGCCATGTCCTACTTTGTTGGGCACAAGGCAGTCGAGAATGGGTTATCTTGAGGATGCTGGCTTCGCCATCAACGGTGGAAAGGGATGGTCAAATGTGGTTTTTGACAACCACAAAATTAATGTCAGCGGCAATGTTGCCATTGCCATGGGCAACTACTTCTTCACCAGCGCTGCAGATGGAAGCAAGACCAAAGTTGAGTACACTTTCGGCTACAAGAAGAATGCGGACGGCAAGGTGCGCATCTTCCTCCACCACTCCTCAGTGCCATACAGCGTGCCTGCAGCCACTGCATCTGGAGCGATTACTGAAGAGGAAGTAAAGAGTGTGCAGGCAGCATGGGCCAATGCCATCAGGAGTATCTCCAAGACTTATCTTGAGGGAGGCGACTATGTTGCAGCTGCTGCCAAAGCAGCCGGTGAGCTCTATGGCTATGGACACACAAATGTGCTGTTCAAGCCAACCAAGGCAGCTGAAGCACAGTTTCGACCCACAGCCTCAGATGCCATGTCCTACTTTGTTGGGCACAAGGCGGTCGAGAAGGGTTATCTTGAGGATGCTGGCTTCGCCATCAACGGTGGAAAGGGATGGTCAAATGTGGTTTTTGACAACCACCAAATTGATGTCACTGGCAATGTTGCCATTGCCATGGGCAACTACTTCTTCACCAGCGCTGCAGATGGAAGCAAGACCAAAGTTGAGTACACTTTCGGCTACAAGAAGAATGCGGATGGCAAGGTGCGCATCTTCCTCCACCACTCCTCAGTGCCATACAGCGTGCCTGCAGCCACTGCATCTGGAGCGATTACTGAAGAGGAAGTAAAGAGTGTGCAAGCAGCATGGGCCAATGCCATCAGGAGCATCTCCAAGACTTATCTTGACGGAGGCGACTACGTTGCAGCTGCTGCCAAAGCAGCCGGTGAGCTCTATGGCTATGGACACACAAATGTGCTGTTCAAGCCAACCAAGGCAGCTGAAGCACAGTTTCGACCCACAGCCTCAGATGCCATGTCCTACTTTGTTGGGCACAGAGCGGTCGAGAACGGTTATCTTGAGGATGCTGGCTTCGCCATCAACGGTGGAAAGGGATGGTCAAATGTGGTTTTTGACAACCACCAAATTGATGTCACTGGCAATGTTGCCATTGCCATGGGCAACTACTTCTTCACCAGCGCTGCAGATGGAAGCAAGACCAAAGTTGAGTACACTTTCGGCTACAAGAAGAATGCGGACGGCAAGGTGCGCATCTTCCTCCACCACTCCTCAGTGCCATACAGCGTGCCTGCAGCCACTGCATCTGGGGGGGTGCGCGTTCGCTTCGGCCGTATTTTTCAATCGCTTTGGTCATCTGAGCGATTACTGAAGGGAAGTAAAGAGTGTGCAGGAAGCATGGGCCAATGCCATCAAGAGTATCTCCAAGACTTATCTTGACGGAGGCGACTACGTTGCAGCTGCTGCCAAAGCAGCCGGTGAGCTCTATGGCTATGGACACACAAATGTGCTGTTCAAGCCAACCAAGGCAGCTGAAGCACAGTTTCGACCCACAGCCTCAGATGCCATGTCCTACTTTGTTGGGCACAGAGCGGTCGAGAAGGGTTATCTTGAGGATGCTGGCTTCGCCATCAACGGTGGAAAGGGATGGTCAAATGTGGTTTTTGACAACCACCAAATTGATGTCACTGGCAATGTTGCCATTGCCATGGGCAACTACTTCTTCACCAGCGCTGCAGATGGAAGCAAGACCAAAGTTGAGTACACTTTCGGCTACAAGAAGAATGCGGACGGCAAGGTGCGCATCTTCCTCCACCACTCCTCAGTGCCATACAGCGTGCCTGCAGCCACCAAAGTGCAGTCCCCAAGCTTGGTGACAACTTTGCAGCCAACATTGGTTGGAGCATAGATTTGATCTCTGAGAGGCCTGCTTTGGTCACATCTTTAGTTTTTTTTCGATGCTGACGGTGACTTGAAACAGTTGCCTGGTCTGGTGCTTTGAAACAATTTGAAACAGCTTTATTGCACTTTTCTGCACGTTTGAGGCTTTTTAGGTTTGTCCTTTGTCCAGCTTTTGCCTCAAGCATTTTTGTGCAGTATCAAATTGATTTTCACACATTATAAGTGGGGCTGGCGCCCCTATGCCGCCGACCCCTGGGACCAGTTGGCTCAAACTCGCTTTCTGAACGCCAAGAAAGGACGGATCGGGCCCGCGGCCGGCAGCCCAGAGTGCCAAACACTTTCTGAACGCCGAGAAACTAGTTGCAAACCTTGCTTTTACCTGCCGTTCTGCACTGCCAGCTTCCAAATGGCTTGCTGCGTCTTGCAGGTGGCGTTCGTCTGGCACACCTCAGGTCCAAGGACGCTGCCGCAGCAACAAAACACCATGGCAGTGAAGGACGGATCGGGCCCGCGGCCAGCAGCCCAGAGTGCCAAACGTCGCTTTCTGAACGCTTAGAAACTAGTTGCAAACCTTGCCTTTACCTGCCGTTCGGCACTGCCAGCTTCCAAAGTGCTTGCTGCGTCTGCTTTCTGAACGCGTAGAAACTAGTTGCAAACCTTGCCTTTACCTGCCGTTCGGCACTGCCAGCTTCCAAATTGCTTGCTGCGTCTGCTTTCTGAACGCGTAGAAACTAGTTGCAAACCTTGTCTTTACCTGCCGTTCGGCACTGCCAGCTTCCAAATTGCTTGCTGCGTCTGCTTTCTGAACGCCTAGAAACTAGTTGCAAACGTTGCCTTTACCTGCCGTTCGGCACTGCCAGCTTCCAAAGTGCGTGCTGCGTCTGCTTTCTGAACGCGTAGAACCTAGTTGCAAACCTTGCCTTTACCTGCCGTTCGGCACTGCCAGCTTCCAAATTGCTTGCTGCGTCTGCTTTCTAAACGCCTAGAAACTAGTTGCAAACGTTGCCTTTACCTGCCGTTCGGCACTGCCAGCTTCCAAATTGCTTGCTGCGTCTCGCAGGTGGCATTCGTCTGGCACACCGCAGGTCCAAGGACGCTGCCGCAGCACCAAAACACGATGGCACTGAAGGACGGATCGGGCCCGCGGCCGGCAGCCCAGAGTGCCAAACGTTGCTTTCTGAACGCCTATAGAAACTAGCTGCAAACCTTGCCTTTACCTGCCGTTCGGCACTGCCAGCTTCCAAATTGCTTGCTGCGTGCCGTTCTGCACTGCCAGCTTCCAAAGTGCTTGCTGCGTCGTGCTGGTGGCGTTCGTCTGGCGCACCTCGGGTCCAAGGATGCTGCCGCAGCACCACAACACCATGGCAGTGAAGGGCAGATCGGGCCCGCGGCCGGCAGCCCAGAGTGCCAAACGTTGCTTTCTGAACGCCTAGAAACTAGCTGCAAACCTTGCCTTTACCTGCCGTTCTGCACTGCCAGCTTCCTAATGGCTTGCTGCGTCTTGCAGGTGGCGTTCGTCTGGCAGCACCACAACACCATGGCAGTGAAGGACGGATCGGGCCTGCGGCCGGCAGCCCGGAGTGCCAAACGTCGCATTCTGAACGCCTAGAAACTAGCTGCAAACCTTGCCTTTACCTGCCGTTCGGCACTGCCAGCTTCCAAATTGCTTGCTGCGTCTTGCAGGTGGTGTTCGTCTGGCACACCTCAGGTTCAAGGACGCTGCCGCAGCACCGAAACACCATGGCAGTGAAGGACGGATCGGGCCCGCGGCCAGCAGCCCAGAGTGCCAAGCGTCGCTTTCTGAACGCCTAGAAACTAGTTGCAAACCTTGCCTTTACCTGCCGTTCGGCGCTGCCAGCTTCCAAATTGCTTGTGCAGCGTCTCGCAGGTGGCGTTTGTCTGGCACACCTCAGGTCCAAGGACTGCCGCATTACCAAAACACCATGGCAGTGAAGGACGGATCGGGCCCGCGGCCGGCAGCCCAGACTCCAAACGTTGCTTCCTGAACGTCAGAAACTAGTTGCAAACCTTGCCTTTGCTTGACAAAAGTTGCTTCTCTCACGCGCTCCCCCGCTACAGCAGGGGTCGGCGGATATAGATTTAAATTTTAATGATAGATTTTTTTAGCCGGACCTAGGAGCCGGCGCCGCGGGGATGAACCATTCCCACCAGAGGAGGTATCTTTCGAAGTTTTGGGAAGGGCCAATGGGCTGTCAAAGGCCCGCGCTCTTCAGCCAAGCAGCCAGTACATAGCTGTGCTTTGCTTGGAGACCCTTGCAGCTTTTCGCAATCGCCCGCCTCAAAAGTTGCATTTGGAGTCCAATTTGGAGTCTCTTTGTCTGGAGTGCGTTTCTGAAGGTTTTGAATGAGATTGTCACTGCAACATCTGAGAGCTAAGACTGTAAGACCCTGGTGTCTGCCAGGATCTGGTGAAGGTCATGTGCTTTCCAGTGGATGGTGGACGGATTGTGCGAAGGAACTTTTCAAAGGCTTGGACGTGGGCAGGATGGGCTGCTTGCAGTGGGTGGGAAAATAGTAGAATATTCGGAATATGGATGAGTATGAAAGATCGTTGCTCAAGAGAGCCTAAAGACACCCAACATTTTTATCTAGCTGTTCTGCAATTGCTTCATTCTCGGTTCCAGCATTTAAGCTGCGCAGGCCAGCTATGCTGCAAGATGTAAAGCAAGGCTGTTTGGGATCAGGATGAATACGAGTCAAGAACGGAAGCATAGGCTAGAGGCCTTATAGGTCCTTGCAAGGTTTCTGCGCCGAAACATGCAAAACATGCACTTTGGAGATCAACAATCTTGAGGAATCTGAATTCATTGTTCAGGCATGCAGTGAATGGATTCAGATTGAGTTGAGTAGATGGCGCATCCGAAGCAAGGATACTGAAGGTGTTTTCTGCTTCCATCGTGTTAGCATCTAGCAATGTTCACTGGACAGCCCGTGTACCCAGCTGGTGTGGCTTATCCACAGATGGCACCACAGATCTATGCTCCGTCAGCAATGGTCTCCCCTGGAATGCAGACTCAGACAAGGGTTGTGACCCTGAGTGTATCGGAGGCTGAGGTTCTTCTGGCACAAAAGGCTTGGTCAGATGCAATCAAACACATTTCCAAGACCTATCTTGAGGGAGGCGACTACGTTGCAGCTGCTGCCAAAGCAGCCGGTGAGCTCTATGGCTATGGCCACTCTGATGTGCTGTTCAAGCCAACCAAGGCAGCTGAAGCCCAGTTTCGACCCACAGCCTCAGATGCCATGTCCTACTTTGTTGGGCACAAGGCAGTCGAGGATGGTTATCTTGAGGATGCTGGCTTCGCCATCAACGGTGGAAAGGGATGGTCAAATGTGGTTTTTGACAACCACAAAATTCATGTCAGCGGCAATGTTGCCATTGCCATGGGCAACTACTTTTTCACCAGCGCTGCAGATGGAAGCAAGACCAAAGTTGAGTACACTTTCGGCTACAAGAAGAATGCGGACGGCAAGGTGCGCATCTTCCTCCACCACTCCTCAGTGCCATACAGCGTGCCTGCAGCATCTGGAGCGATTACTGCAGAGGAAGTAAAGAGTGTGCAGGCAGCATGGGCCAATGCCATCAGGAGTATCTCCAAGACTTATCTTGACGGAGAGGACTACGTTGCAAAGCAGCCGGTGAGCTCTATGGCTATGGACACACAAATGTGCTGTTCAAGCCAACCAAGGCAGCTGAAGCACAGTTTCGACCCACAGCCTCAGATGCCATGTCCTACTTTGTTGGACACAAGGCAGTCGAGAAGGGTTATCTTGAGGATGCTGGCTTCGCCATCAACGGTGGGAAGGGATGGTCAAATGTGGTTTTTGACAACCACCAAATTGATGTCACTGGCAATGTTGCCATTGCCATGGGCAACTACTTTTTCACCAGCGCTGCAGATGGAAGCAAGACCAAAGTTGAGCACACTTTCGGCTACAAGAAGAATGCGGACGGCAAGGTGCGCATCTTCCTCCACCACTCCTCAGTGCCATACAGCGTGCCTGCAGCATCTGGAGCGATTACTGAAGAGGAAGTAAAGAGTGTGCAGGCAGCATGGGCCAATGCCATCAGGAGCATCTCCAAGACTTATCTTGACGGAGGCGACTACGTTGCAGCTGCTGCCAAAGCAGCCGGTGAGCTCTATGGCTATGGACACACAAATGTGCTGTTCAAGCCAACCAAGGCAGCTGAAGCACAGTTTCGACCCACAGCCTCAGATGCCATGTCCTACTTTGTTGGACACAAGGCAGTCGAGAAGGGTTATCTTGAGGATGCTGGCTTCGCCATCAACGGTGGGAAGGGATGGTCAAATGTGGTTTTTGACAACCACCAAATTGATGTCACTGGCAATGTTGCCATTGCCATGGGCAACTACTTTTTCACCAGCGCTGCAGATGGAAGCAAGACCAAAGTTGAGTACACTTTCGGCTACAAGAAGAATGCGGACGGCAAGGTGCGCATCTTCCTCCACCACTCCTCAGTGCCATACAGCGTGCCTGCAGCCACTGCATCTGGAGCGATTACTGAAGAGGAAGTAAAGAGTGTGCAGGCAGCATGGGCCAATGCCATGAGGAGTATCTCCAAGACTTATCTTGACGGAGGCGACTATGTTGCAGCTGCTGCCAAAGCAGCCGGTGAGCTCTATGGCTATGGACACACAAATGTGCTGTTCAAGCCAACCAAGGCAGCTGAAGCACAGTTTCGACCCACAGCCTCAGATGCCATGTCCTACTTTGTTGGGCACAAGGCGGTCGAGAAGGGTTATCTTGAGGATGCTGGCTTCGCCATCAACGGTGGAAAGGGATGGTCAAATGTGGTTTTTGACAACCACCAAATTGATGTCACTTGCAATGTTGCCATTGCCATGGGCAACTACTTCTTCACCAGCGCTGCAGATGGAAGCAAGACCAAAGTTGAGTACACTTTCGGCTACAAGAAGAATGCGGACGGCAAGGTGCGCATCTTCCTCCACCACTCCTCAGTGCCATACAGCGTGCCTGCAGCCACCAAAGTGCAGTCCCCAAGCTTGGTGACAACTTTGCAGCCAACATTGGTTGGAGCATAGATTAGAGCTCTGAGAGGCCTGCTTTGGTCACATCTTTAGTTTTTTTCGATGCTGACGGTGACTTGAAGCAGTTGCCTGGTCTGGTGCTTTGAAACAATTTGAAACAGCTTTATTGCACTTTTCTGCACGTTTGAGGCTTTTTAGGTTTGTCCTTTGTCCAGCTTTTGCCTCAAGCATTTTTGTGCAGTATCAAATTCCCAACAGCAGGGCCTGTTGGGTTTCAATCTCTAGGGCTGGGGCTGGCTCGCGGGGACTTGCAGCCTTCAAAATCCGGAATGGAACCCTGGAACCCTGGAACCCTGGAACCCTCCCTGGAACCCTGGAACCCTGAAACCTTGGAACCCCGGAAGCCTGGAACCCTGGAACCCTGGAACCCTGAAACCTTGGAACCCCGGAACCCTGGAACCCTGGAACCCTGGAACCCCGGAACCCTGGAACCCTGAAATCCTGGAACCTTGGAACCCTGCGACCGTGGAACCCTGAAACCTTGGAACCTTGGCACCCTGGAACCCTCAAGGATTCTGGAACCCTGCAACCTTGGAACCCTCAAACCTTGGAACCCTGCAACCCTGCACACCTGGCACCCTGCTGGGATCCTGGAACCCTGAAACCCTGGAACCCTTGGAACCCTTGGAACCCTGGAAACCTTGGAACCCTGAAACCGTGCAACCCTGGTACCCTGGAACCCTGGAACCCTGAAACCTTGGAACCCCGGAACCCTGGAACCCTGGAACCCTGGAACCCCGGAACCCTGGAACCCTGAAACCCTGGAACGTTGGAACCCTGCGACCGTGGAACCCTGAAACCTTGGAACCTTGGCACCCAGGAACCCTCAAGGATTCTGGAACCCTGCTACCTCCCCGGCACCGAGATCTCTGTTGCCAGCGTGCATGCCGGGGGTGACGGCAGCAGAGATGGTGAGACGGTGCACGCAATGCCTTTGTGGCATGTTATGGTTTGCCTTGTGTGGCATTTCATGCGGTGTCCTGTTGACGGTCCTGGCTTTGCTTGTTTGCAGTTTGCCACCATGGTTGACACCATATCTCACCATGATCTTTCTGATCATGTCGCAGATTTGCTATGATCGCATCCAGCACAGAACCAAGTTCAAATGTGCTTTGCAATGCCGTTTTGTGAAAGGAAGGCGTGTAATGCAACATCGACGTCACTGCCGGTCAAAGGCCAGAGTATCAAGACACTTCACAATGCTCACGATGTTGATTGCATATTTGGCTTGTTCCTCTTATCATTTTGGCACTTCGTTCTCGTTTTGGTTGCGATGTTTCACTGTTTCACATTCCTTTTTGCAGATCTTGAAGATCAACACAGCATGGCATAGGTCTCGCAAAGATCGAAACCGCACTATGCACAGTTTGCACGGCAATGGTGCCCCTAAGGGGTATTCCAAAGGCAAAGGAGGCAAGACATCTTCGGCCATGTCGTCCTCAGACAAAACCGATACACAGATCTTTCTGGAATCTGTTCAAGATGCCATCCCTGAACAGGCGAAAATGCGAGCTCAGACAACCCTAGTTCAATCAGAATGGTCAGTTGATGTGGTTTATCATCAACAACTCACATCCAGAGGTGGAGTGGCGGTCTGTCCTCGTGATGCTCTTCCCAGCGTTTTGGCAAGGGTTGGGTACAGTGGCCACGCAACTGGTATTTTGTTAGTTCAATGTCCTGATGAGTTGGGTATGAAATCCTATCCTAGAGAATTGGTCACCTGTAGCCTTCTTGTTCCCGGTTTGAATGGTGAGACCAGTACCATTCAGTCCCAAAGGTGGCTTGTGCAACTAGGTTTTGGACCCAAAGTCATGATGGTCGCAGAGGGCACGGAAATCCCGATGCCTGTGCATATGATCAAGATGGTTTGCAAGCTCAGCCCGTTGCGTGGATGGGCATCCGGATTTCACCCTGCGTCAATTTTCATGGAACAGATCAGCACACATATCAATGAAGCGGCTGTTGACTCTCTTTTGGCACGAGACGGTGGATCTTGCATTTTTCTCTGTCATGAATCGGAATACCGCACCTAACTGAAAGCGAGTGGCATCAACGGAGCATATTTCAAAGTACACCGAGACGACCCATCACATTTCGAGCTGGACTTGTTCTGGCTACCTGAAGATATGAGTGTTGATGAATGTTTGAACTTAGCCAGGGATGATCAAGCGATAGGCCTCATTGAGAAGGGATCTAATGGGCGTCTCGCCATTCGCTTCGAGTCATCTGCAATCTGCGCTAGTTTCGCACAGGCGAAAGGCTTGCCGGATACATCCCACCTCGGACGTTTTAAAATTACCGGAGTACCTTTGTCTTCCGGCCTCCATGGCCTTGCTGAGTTGCTCGTGTCACGAAAATGGAAAGTGGATCAAATTGTTTTCATGGACAGCAAACATGCAATTTTCCTGGCCTCCGTTCGAGGACAGGACGACCCGCTGTTTTGGAAATCTGGAGGCCAGCCTCGCCAGATTCGGTTCAAAGCTTTGAATGCAGTTGCTCGAGGAATGACCAAGATGGCAGCTACTGCTGCACAGAATCGCCGTTTTCCATGTTTGACTCCTCAAAATCAGCGCAGAAAAGATTTTGTGAAGAATTTGATCCATGATTTAGATGAACCAGATGAATCTATGCGCGATCAGAGCGCATTGAAGCGTGGCCCGCCTGGTCGCACTGGTGAAACTCCCGACCCTAAGGAGCCGAAACCTGCAGAAGCTAAAGCTGCGCCGCCGCAGTGATTGTATCTCGCATTTGCACACACCGATATGAGAATTCACTCGTATATTTTCATGTACCTGCAACTGCCAATGTTTCCATTCACATGTTGTGCATTTTCGGATCCTTCTTTCTCTGTCACAATAAAATGATGCGAATGCTTCATGGCAACACGACGCAACCAGATTTAAGTTTTGCATTCGCCAATGTGGATGGTGTGGTTGGTCGGGATCGCTCTCAAGCCATTTTGGATCTCGATTGTGATATTATCGCATTAACGGAGACCCATCTGACTCAAGAACATCAGAAAATTTTGCAGCATTCGTTTCCTGGATATCAACAATTTTGGGGAGCCCCAGTCTCCGGGAAAAAAGGTGGCGTTGGATTTCTTGTTAGAACTGGATCCACGTGGCATGCCAAATTAATTTCAATTTCTGCCAGTTCTCCATGCTATAAGTATTTCCAGGAGGGACGTTTGGTTGTTCTTTCTCTGCAAATAGGCGACGGATCCCGACAGATTCTAATATATAATGTTTATGGTTACAGTGGCGCTCGATGGAACCATGGTTTAAAAAGCCAGACTCATGCCATTATTGAAAGTGCCTTACAGGATTCGATTTCTCGCGGCCTTCCCGCCCTTTTTGGAGGCGATTTGAATCTACAACTGGATGAATCTTCGGTCCTTCAGCGCATGACCCAATTTGATTGGTTTCATCTCCCTAGTTTATGTAATTCTGCCACCACTTCTACGTGTTTCAAAGGAAAAGGCTCCGCCATTGACCATATCTTTTGTAACTCACTCGCTTTCAATGCGTTTACATCGTTTTCTATTGGCAGTTGTATATCTGACCATGCAAGCTTGCAGTGCACATTCTCACTTCAAGTCATTTCCCAGACTGTCCATTGTAACCGAACTATGACATCCTTACCACCAAAATTCCAGTTTCCAACCCCATTAAGCTCACCTGTTTTACAATTGGGGAAAAACTTTTCGGCCTTCCTGAAAAAAGGTGATATTGCATCTGCCTATAAGTTATGGTGTAACTATGCTGAAGCTCATCTGAAAACATTATGGACTCATGTGGATGAAAATGCCAAGTTTACAGAAGGACGTGGGAGTGTGCGTGTGGACGCACATGCCATGTGGCCTGTTTCTCGTTTTGACAGTGCAGCTACTCTTCATGCCAGACGACTCTGGAAATTAATTTGTCGCATGGACGAGATTACAAAACGTCCTTGGGGACAGTTAGCTGTCCGCACTTGGGCGCAGGCACATGCTTCGCTATCGCTTTTGCCTGAGTCATTTGCTGCAAGTGTTGCCTCAATTTTCGAATTTGCACCTTCCAGTGAGAGAGCTCATTCTGTAAAGATTGCCGCTGACAGAGCTTTGTTAAATTTGCAAACTAAAGATAAAGCTGACCGTATCAAGGCCTGGAAACATAAGCTCCAACATTCAGTTAAAGCTCAGCATGCATGGTTACGTCAAAATTCCTATGCGGCGTCGCACACGTGTTTTGCCGGGACAGATGGTAAACCCACTGCAAACATTAATGAGCAATTTCGTGCTGTACGATTGGCATGGCAATCCATCACTGACCTTTTCCGCAACAGCGAGCCAGACCATAACTCCTTCTTTGCTCAATATGAGCAATACATTCAAGCTTTTCATGTCGATCTTCCCCCATTGACTGGGCAGATGTTAAGAGATGAAATTTACAAAATGAAAGAGAGTAGCCCTGGTTTGGATGGATGGAGTCATATTGACCTCAAACTACTTTCTCATGCGGCACCATGGGTCATTGATAGTCTTTGTCAACTATTATCAGCCGTTGAGCAAACTGGTGTGTGGCCTTCTTCAATAATTTCAGGCTTTACTACCCTCATCCCAAAATCTTCTGAGACCCCCGAAACTCCCACTGATCTCAGACCCATCACGGTTCTCAGTGTTTTGTACAGAGTATGGGCTCGCATTCGTGCTTGTCAACTCAACGTCCTTTGGCAAGAACTATTTGCACACAAAGGTATGTGGGGCGGACGAACCTCGCGGGGTGCTGAACCTCTGCTCCTTGATGTTGCTTTGGATTTGGAAGTTACCTCCGCAGCCCATGTTGCTGGACTCAGTTTTGACCTGTCCAAGGCTTTTGATCGTGTGCCTCGTGAGCTTCTGGGTAAGATTTTGTCTAAAATGTCCATGCCTGGTTGTGTTTTTAGACCATATATGCACATGTTAAGG